TCCCATAAGTTAAGTTTGGGGGGTATTACCCTGGCACGCAGCTGCTTTTCTCTTGGCGCATCTGTGGGGTAGGCGGCAACAGAAATGGCACTGATCAGGTGGTTTCACACAGTCAGGTGCACTCAATGCTAGCTGGCTGCAGGTTTGATCAGTCAATAATTTCCATTTCCAGATCTGCTACAGGCGAGGCTTGCGGAGTGCCTGGTGACTGGCCATCTTGCATTCTTTTGAGGCGCTTCTTGATACGCGTCAGATGCTCGCGAGCACTGGCTAGCCGCGTTTCATGAAAGGCTACTCTTTCACAGGCTGCCTTCTCCATGTTCTGTAATGTCGGGATGTCCGCTGCGGCGAGGTCAACGTCCTGTCTGGATTCACTGGCGGGCTCAGGGCTGCTAGCAACAACAGTGTCAGTGGCTTGCGTCTCTGGCGATTCATTTGGTGTGTCAGCAGGCGACGATTCTTCTGTCGGTGTGTCGTTGTCGACAGCGGATTGCTCCTTTTGAGGTTGCTGCTGTTCTTCATCTTTGTTGTGTGTTGCAGATTGAGAGTCGGAGGATAACACGCCGGTACCCGGGGTATCCGTCTTTGATTTGCTCGTGGGTAGGGTCGATGGTGGGCCTGGTCTTTGGCTGAATAGTGATTGTGCACTGACCTTAGGCGGCCGATTGCTTTCTTGAGGAGCTGGAGCTTCTGCCGTCACGCCTGTACTGGGATTGGTTGGTACGGCGGTTGCAGAAAAAATGAAAAAACAATATTTACACAAAACATGGAGGCCTGGTCGCTGGAAAATCGGCGGCAAAAAAAACTGAAAAAACATATATATATTTTTAAAAACATATATTTTTTGGAGGGCTGGTCGCCGGAAAATCGGCGACAAAAAAACTGCAAAAATATAAGTTCCATTTTTTTAAAACATATATTTTTTGGAGGGCTGGTGGCGGGAAAATCGGTGACAAAGAAACCAAAAACATATATATATATATTTATTAACATATATTTTTCGAAGGGCCTGTCGCGGGAAAATCGGCGACAAAATAATCTGCAATAATATAAATTATATTTTTCTAAAACATATATTTTTTGGGGGGCTGGTCAATGGAAAATCGGCAGCAAAAAAACCGCAAAAATATAAGTTTTATTTTTTAACATATATTTTTTGGAGGGCGCGGGAAAATCGATCGGCGACAAAGAAAACCAAAAACACATATATATATATATTTAAACTTATATTTTTCGGAGGGGCTGTCGCGGGAAAATCGGCGGCAAAAAAACCTGAGCAAAATATAAATTTTATTGTTTTTTAAAAATATAATATTTCCGAGGGGTGGTCGCGGGAAAACCGGCGGCAAAAAATGGAAAAACTTGAGTTGTTGTGATGTTTTTTTGAAGTTGGCTCTTAAAAAAAACATGTTGAAAATGTACTGTTTTCTTAATTGCCAAAAATATAGACCTCTTTTGTTTTCATGTTTTCTTTGGGAAACAAATGGCCAAGAACATTGGGAAACATACATGTTTTGTTAAAACCATAGTTACTGAAAAATTTGCCGAAAAACTACGAAACATGTAAACTCTTTTTTGAACAAACTATTATTTTGGAGCTGGCCGCAGGAAAAGATGCCCAAAACACCTGCCAAAAAATGTGGAGGCTCGCCCCAGAAAACAACAAACATCGCCAAAACATTTTTTTGGAGCTGTCCCCAAGAACGATTGCCGAAAAAGTGCAATATTGAATGCCATATATATATATATATATCAATTCATATATTTCTATAGAGATTGCTTATATGTAATATATATATTTTAATTATTCACGAGAAGGCCTAACTCTTATATTGAGTTCCTTTGCAAACCTTTACACTTCCAATTCCTTACCATTACGATCATACTTCTCGAACCCGCAATATTGAGGTAAAAAAATATTAGGGTCAAAAAGAAATTGAGGTTAAGCAAAATCCACCCTTGTTGGGGTTAGGCAAGGATTCCTTGAGGTTAGCAGTAAGGGTTAGAAGCGGGTCTCTTAATTATTTTGTCCGGCAGTGGTCAGTTTTTGTCACACAAATGCTGGGGTTTCGCCCAGTTCTTTTGGAATCAACACCAGAAAAAATTATCCAACACAATTCGGAAAATAATGATAATTCTTTATTGATGTGTTTTCAGAGCTCGCCTTGGCAGAAACCTATGGGCGACATGTTTGGGGTTTGTTTATTGTATTTTTCGCTGGTTCCGCCAGGAAACATGTACACATGTTCACATAAATTCATATGCGCATGCAAATTTCAATCGGTTTTGTTGAATTCACGAAAAACAACGCACGGTTTTGTTTTTTTGGGAGGCGTCAAAAAACAACAACAACAACAAATTAACGTTTTTGGCTGTCTGGTTGATTTGAGCTTATGGAATTATTCACAAAGGTTTGAATCCTTGAAAAACAGGTAAAACCGAATGTATGTATACAAATATATATGTTCTATGTTTCTGTTTTGTGGAACTCGACGCAGTTGTGTTGTTTCTTATATTTTTTTCTTAAATTGTTTTAGGAATTGTCCGCAATAAGAACCGAAAACAAACTCAGTTGCAACAGGTATTGCTGCTGCTTCAGCACAGGGACCGAGAACTCAAACCACAATTATTTTTTAAAAGACAAACAATTTGTGATTCCACGTCTCTAGGGGAAAGTTAGTGGATTTACTCGAGTGTTGGAAACCACCTGATTTATTTTGTGCCCGGCATGGCAGCAAGATTGCGGAAATAGAATCAATTTCTGAATATTTCCGGCAACACAAAACCATAGGTTGTGCAAATTGGCATTAAGGAGGTCACGAAGGTCCCCCCTCTTCCTTTCCCCCACCCACGACTTAAGGAATACTTAAGGGGGGGCTTGAGGGGAGGCTTCAAGGGGGGCTTAAGGGGGAACTTAAAGGGGACTTAAGGGGGGCTTAACGGGGGGCTTCACAGGGGGCTTCAGGGGGGGCTTAAGGGAGGGCTCGAAGGGTACCCTTCCAAAGGGTACCTTAAGGCCTTAAGCGGGCTTCGAAGGATACCTAAGGGGGGGGCTAAGGGAGCTTAAGGAGAGGCTTCAAGGGCGGCTTAAGGGGGATTTAAAGGGGGGCTTCAAGGGGGGCTTAAGGGGGGGCTACCCTTCAGAAGGGTACCTTAAGGGGGCTTCGAAGGGTAGCTTATAAGGGGGAGCTTCAAGGGGCTTCATGGGGGGCCCCCCCTTCAACTGCGTAAACGAAAGGATGTGTGTCGCGTTGTTTTTTTGGTTGCCTGTGTGGAGACATATATGCTTTTCGATTGACGAATTTTGAAGGGATGGAATTGCTACGTTCCAGTAAAACGTGTGATCCGCTGTGCATGGCATGGCTGCTTGGCCGGCCCTCACGTGTGGATTTTTGCAGTCTTTTGGGTCGGACCACAAGACGAAAAATGGGGGGTGGCTGACATGTTGACTGAGCAGAGTTGTGGTTCTTGACATTGAATCGGCACAGGTTCATGAACATGTTGTTCAAGACCAAACATGGGATGGACGTGGCAAATTTTGGTTGATGCTGCTGCTGCTGATCCATTTTTGGTTCAGTGATGTGGCTGAAACTCAAAACCACATACTGCAGCTGCCATTCCGAATGACCTTTTTCAGTTTGATGGCATAGTATGGCATAGTATGCCAACAAAAAATGCAACGAATGAACTGTGGCCGATGGCTAACTAGCCTGGACTCAATCTAGACTCAGAACCCAAGTTTGACAAACGCTCCAGCAATCTAGTGTGATAGGCAGAATTTGTTTGTTTGCATGAGCTGGCACTTGCGAAGATAGGCGCGCTGACTTGTTGGATTGCAGGAGAATATTAAAAAAATCCAATTCTTCCATGAAATTTGGTTGAAATCCTGAGGCTGGTGGACACCAGATTAGCACGCAACGCCAAACATTCTCCAAAATTTTAAGCCAATTTTTCATGGCAATGGGATTGCATTCAATTTGCAGCTCACCCCGGTTCCCCAGTATCATCCCCAACAATACCCCCGTGTTCGCGGAGGCAAAATTGGCTGCCATGTGCCATCGGGTTGGGCCTGGCTGGTCAAACGGGTGTATTGACAATGAAATATGGGGATTGGTCAAAACCCTGGTACCTAGTGAACCCCAAAATAGCTGGTAAATGGATGTTCATCCCACTAAAAATGGTATTAATAGGTATTGACCCATACCCATATGTCCATAAAATGGCAATCCTTGTGGGAAAAATGATGATTTGCCAATATTTGCCAGTGGACTTAGGGCTAAAACCTGTTTTTTTTCCTTAATACCAGATTTGGGTGGCAAACAAATAGCCGTCTATGATGATCCAATTTTCTAGTCCCAAACATATGTGCAAGATTCCGCTTTCGAAAAGGGCCATTTTTGCACGGGAGAGATGAGACCTGGACAGCCAGCCGTTCCAGCCAGCGGGTGCAAAACCTGGCACTAGCCGCAGATGTCCGGCCCGGTGTAGACGCTGATGTTTTGTGCACGGATATATAGACATTATAGACATATAGCAATAATATATGTATATATATATATATATACACATGGTTACATGGTCAATGTTTCAAATCCCGGAGAAACAAGAAACAACTTCATTTTTTGGATGTGGTTTCAGAGCAAACAAAGCATTCCTGACAGTATTTTTTTCGAGTGGTCATGTTTTACTTCTCTGGAAGTTTCATTTTTCCTGTTCACTCATGTGACGTGCCGGCGCTGTCAACATTATTTCCTTTTGTTTTTTAAGGCTTTCCCAAACTCTGTTGACTTGGGCATCGTTCAAAATCATGATAATGATGAACTACCAAAATTGATTGGTTGCAAAGCCAACAGACAACGACCAGTCACCTGTCTAAAGGCTCCATTTCGGGTTGAGAAAATATCCCCCCCCTAAATGTAACCCTGAAGAATGAGTTTCCAAAACAGATTTTACCACAGGATATTATTCAGGATATGTCTCTGTTGGGGTTCCAGTTCCATGATCAAGTTTTGGGGGTGTATTGTTTCCGCTGAATTGCTGGCTGGACTCCAAAAAAAACATCATGTTGTCTGTGGAGACACCACCATTCGAGGCTCGGGGGGACATGGCTGGTGATTTTTGGTGTTTGATGATTTGATGGTCCATTTTGTGAACCATAAAATGACCCATACCCAAATGTATCAAACTCAGAAATTGATAGGATTAAAAGAATTCACCAGGTGGGCTGCCCCAAATGACTTCTGAACTATTGATGATGCAACTTCAGGACATTTGCTGACTTTATATAGAAGTCACCGGGTTTCCAGGATTCAAAAATCAATGCAAAGTATTGCTTCGATGATCACTTCTGGAGACTTCAAAAACCGACTATGCCGAAGTGTGGCCGTTGCGGAGTATACACAAATCTCAGAGAGAGAGAGAGAGAGAGAGAAAGAGAGAGAGAGAGATGGCTTTAATATCATTTAATCCCAAAAAAAATAGGGCAATTTCCCCAAATTCCAGTGGTTTAAAGCCTCATTTTCCTCATTGAAAGTGTTATGATGGGATATCCACCAGTTTTGAACAATTCCAGATGTGCCAGGCGCATAGACAAGATGAACAATGTGACCAAGAGGACTGAAGTGCAGCAGGAGGGTTTTGCAAATTCTTGCAGCGTTTAGGATAAGCAATAGGACACTGAATGGTGAAGTGGAATGGTGAAGTAGAAATGAAGATATTGACACAGAACATTCCATTTGTGGGGCCTGCGAGGTCCCACTAAAGATCATAAATCGTTTGTCACAATGAGGTGATATGAGGTGTGCGCCTTTGTTTGATCGTCAAGCCGAAAGGGTTAAAAACAAAGCTGCCACTCCCAAGTTGAGTTCGTGGATCGACCATGTGGCCCTGGCTACCGGGGTAACCCGGCTGACCGGAATAACCGGGATAACCATCAATCCAAATAGCCATGGCCTTTGGCAGTAGATCCACCATTTTCAGTGGACAGCAGGCCTTTCTGGAGGTCACGGATCCGTCGCCCCAGGTGCTGGCGAAGGGTTTGGGACTGGCAAATTTTTGGGAAGGGGCTTGGTACAAATCCGAAACAGGCGGTTTATGATTGATTAGTTCACATGAATTCTGTGTTTTAGCATAGTAACTCATAGTAGAATCATGAAATATTTCAAGGGGTTTGTTTTCTACATAAATGAGTTGATCTATCACTAGGCCACTAGGCCAAGTGTTGTGGTTTATGGCTTATGCAACTTCCAGCTGGGGGATTACCCCTCGCTGAATCGGACCCCAGATGGGGACTGACCGATTGAGGCGGCTGGCCGGTGGAAGGAGCCGCAGTTGACAGCTTTGTGGCTTTGTCACCAATTCACGAGCTATTTTAATGTTAAAGCAATAGTAAAACATCCCCAAATGTATAATACATATACCATAGATGGGTTGTATACACCATCAAAATATGGGTGGTTTATGACATTGCTTTACTAATAGGGAGCCGATGATCAAGCAAAAATTTGTGTACCCTATTTTCAGACAAATCCAAATAGGTCCAAATAGGTCCTTGCCTGAGTACTCCACAAAACTAGTTGAGCAGTTGCCCGAACTTTGATGATGGGTTGCTGGCGAGGTCAAACGATATTTTTTTGGGGGATCCGTGATCTGTAAGGACATCTAAATTCACCATCGTTTCTGCTCGGTTTTGGCTGGCTTGAACCCAACAAAGCCGGAGGAGAGATGCGAAGTGCTGGGAGGCTTGCTCTCCACACCTGCGACTGGGCACAAAATCGATGAGGCTTTTCAAATCCACTGGGTTTGGGACCTAAAAACTATGGGAAAACCGCAAAATCACATGTTTCAAATGGACCAATTTTGGGACTTTTGGACATTTCGGACCCCCAAATCCACGGATTTTGGTTTAGTTTACCAAGGTGACTATTCAGATCGCAACAATTTCATGTTAGGGATATGATATGAGCAACAGGCTGCCACAACTGGCTTTGTTTTTGTCTCAATAGATTATCCTCGTATTTTCCATTTCAATACTGGTCTGAATTGTAATTCTGGGTTTAATCCCTCATTTTTGCACAAACCCCCACATGACTTTTCCCGAAGGGAAGAATGTGGTTCCCGCGACCAAGGCTGCTACAAGGTGGTGGTACTTTCAGCAGGTGCCAAGACCAGTGGCTCAGTCTGCCAGAGATCTGGGATATAGTGGGATTTAGCCAAGAAAAATGGTGGTATATGGTGGGGAATGATATGTATATATATATAATATACACACATGTATGTATACAATGGGAGATACATAATGGCCTAATGGGTTATATATAATAGGGATATACTGAGAAAATGTAGGGGGTGGCCTGGCCATCCAAAAATGGCCGGGCTTTTCAGGTTACTACATAGTGAATTATTGTAATCTATCCAGAAGCATGCCTTTTTGATCGGGCAGCCGGGCAATTTCCACGCTGCCAGGGTTTCGGGTTGTGAAGTTATCAGGTTGCGGTAATTCGGGCCGCGCTTTCCTGATTTGGGAACAAAATCCGGGCGTATCGCTTCTTGTTTTTCCGGTGTAGCTACCGCTCAGAAATCTTCAAGGCTTGACACATTTCCTTGTTCGACGATGGTTCCAATGGTTCCACTTGACTTTCAGTCCTTTTTCGCAGCAAAAAACCACCAGGCAGTTCTCCTTCCAGAGAAATTAGCGCTGACAGGCCTTCTGGCTGTACCTCTTCTTGATGGGTCTACATTCGGTTCCTGGGCAGCTTTAGCTCTGGATCAATGGGAAGGGCCAAGGATTGAAGATTCACTATAGGTTGCTGATATCACCATCTCGTTGTTGGTGCTTCTAGGGGTCCAGAAAATCATTGAACAATTGATCCCCAGTAGTTGATATCCACGTCATTTTCATAGATACAGTACAGTCACATCAAGTCTCGCAATGCTTCCCTATGTTTTTTGAGAATTTAACATAGCTGTGGAAGGTCTCCATTTTTTGGTAGGTAAACCCATCGAACTAAATGGGCCATCTATACCAGTTCGCAAACAAATTTCCAGAGTGTATATCCATTATTTCCAGACATATTCCCATTGATATCCATTTTTGCCAGCATTTTCATGGTCAGATCCCCATTTTTTCCACCAAGTGGCTTTGGCAGGGCTGGTCTTGGTCCACCAACTGGAAGAAGGACGGCCACCATTCAGAGCTCTCAGCCATGCTAGGCGCGGCGTGGAGATCTTTCCATTTGGATAGCGAAAGAATGCAAAAAAAATGGGTGGCTGTAAGTTTCTCCCTTAGTGGAAGAGATGGAGATGTTGGTTGTGGATGGTTGTGGTAATTACTCCCTTTTGGAAGAGATCGACATGGAAAGAGTGGTGCGGCATGACATCATTCCCCAATTGATCAAGGTTTTTATCGCTGTAGGCTTGTCTCAAACTGGCTTTGGTACCTGGAAATTTCTGGGACTGCCCCAAAATTCCTTGGTTTAACAACTCATTTCCCCCGTTAAAATGATGATTTGGATTATTTGGGACTATCTCACATCACCCCTCACCTCCCATCATCCAGTGACCAGGTGGCATCAAGACCGTGGGCTTCGGCTTATTCGATCTGCTGGCCTTTCTGGCCCTGAAAGCCTCGCGTCAGGCATACGCATCGACACGTTTGCAGGTGGGGATGGTGGATGAGGTGACGGATATGTGGTGATGGGGGGCGAAACCTTTGTGTTGAAAGAAGTTGAACTATTAAGATCTTGGCATCTTGCAGAGGGAAAACAGGAATTCAGTTTGGGGCTCCACTTGAGCTGTCGCACCTGCGACGTCTGTTTCCAGGGTATCAGCTTTTGCACTCGCGGCTTGTCGCGTGAGGCGTTGATTCATGAGGCACCAGCTGAAGTGGAGTCCTTTGCGAAGAAGTGCTGCTGCTTAGGGATGTTGCAAGCTACAGCACAGTGCGGACACCAAGCTGTTGCTGGCTGTTACATTTGTTGAATGCGAGTGAGTCCGGGGTGGTATGTTGAAAACTTCAGATGCTCCCCCGAATCTTACTGGTTTCGCCAACACATCAATATTTTCTTTGGAATGTTTGGTATTCTGATGGTTTGAAAGAGAATACCACCCAGATCTGTTTCCTGAGACCACACCGCCACACCATCTCCCGATCCCAGAGCTCCGTTGGTATAGCGGGCCTTGGAGGGCTTTGTACTGGTTCCTCTTCATCTACTGCATGTGGCAAAAGCAAGACCGCGACCTGGTGCGCCTCCGGAGTTCGTCTTTGGGACATGTGATGTTTTGAGATGTTTTTGGCGTGTTTGGCCATTGGGCCAAAGGATGATGATGACCGAATTCCCTTTGATTCCCATCGGGAGCACACCGAGCCGCAGGCTCGTCTGTCGTTCACAGTCACGGGCGCAATAGGTGCGGGTTGTGCTGCAGTCCGAAAGTTGCAGATCCGTAAGCAGAACGAACCATCAAGGGCTCAAGTGATTGGGGACACATCCAGCTCGTTAATGTTCTTGCGATTTCGATGAATTATGGAATTTTATGGCTCTTGATGTGCAAAGGGCAGTGTGGTTTCGGTTTCGGTTTTTACTATTTGCGATATGGCCAGTTCGGTCCATGGGCGGTTTCGGGGCGGTTTCTTGTAATTTTCGGTTCGGTTCATTCAGTGTGGACTGCGGGCACCAGCTGTTTGACTTTGGTGAAACTTCCGGGGAATGCATCCGCGTTTGCCTTCTTCACAGTTCCGAGAAAACAGTTTCAAATTTCCTACTGTAAGTGGTTATGTGGAAATACAGCCGGCTTTGCTTTTTTTCACAGCCCAGAGAAAGCAATTTCAAGTTTCCAAATGGTCCTACTTTTAGGAGAATATATCCGCCGTTGCTCTTTTCATAGCCCAGAGAAAGCAGTTTCAAGTTTCCAAATGGTTCTACAGGGACGAGGGTGGAACGGTTCAACGGTTCAGTTTGGGGAGTGGTTCGTGCGGTTCACGGTTCCTGCGGTTCGAAGGCTATCTGATACTAGACGGTCCGATTCGACAGTTCCATTTCGGTTCCCGAACCTTACTGAAAGTTTCAGCATGCCAGCATGACGAGTTGAGTAGATGATGGCTATGCCGAAGTGCATGTGCATCAGCATAAAGGCATAGGTTGCTATGCCGCTATGCCAACAATTTTCTTTGATGACCAGCTGGCTCTTTTAGATCCTGAATCTAGCCCGCAGCAACACTGAAATGAAGCCTCACTTTTATTGCGGTCACCAGGGTCACCCCCAAAACTATCATGAATAATCCAGACATTGCTGCCTTGTGTTTCTTTCTTCTTTTGGTTCAAGATCCATATATTTCTGCCCAAAAAAACTCCTACTGAACAGCTGCCAGGGCTGGTGCTGTGCACCCCGGGGCTCTGTTGCGCATTCTTCCCCGTGCTGCTGGGCTTGTGGGATGCAGAGACCAGGCCTTTTTCGGGGAAGGTTTGAAATTCAACGGGGGTTCAATGGGAATCCAACCTGAGGAAAGCAACCCACCAAAACAATAGGAAAGGATACAAATCTCTCACAATTTTACTTTTCTGCGTCTGATTTTTTTTTTTGTTGCTATGCCGTTGAAAGACAAGAGGCTGTGTTTCATGGAAGATGGGTCTTTTAATTGATGGGCCATAGGGATACAATCCATCATAGGGACAGGCAGTGCATGGCAGTGCAACAGTTCAACATCCCGAATGCCGATGTTTTAGAGTCCCAATTTTTTGCCACTTGAGAAAAGACTGCTTTACCTAACAGAATAACTTGAATACTAATTAGCTTACCCTACTAACATAGTGTACAACACTCGGTTTGCTGGAACATTTACAGGAACCCCCATACTTCACTGTAAAGGTCCGTGGTTTGGTATTGGTTTTGTCCTAAAAAAATCCGTTGATGTTGATGATTTGAGTGACTGCCTGTAGGTGCTCCTCTGAAACAGCTTTTGGGGCAGGTTGGGGGACTTTGCTGAAGAGATTGAAGAGGGCCGAGTCAGGAATGCCCAAGGAGTGGGGGTGGCGAAACCAAGGTCAAGTTGGGAGATTTCTTGAATGATTTTTTCGATGTAAATAGTTGGGACGCAAGCAGCAAACAGATGCAAACAGTAGACATCAGTGGATGGAGCAACTGACTACCAGAGGTTACTAAGCCTATGGATCTATATGGATCTATATGGTGGTTTCTTCAAATGCAGGACCCCTGTTAACCACTGGTTTCCCCATGACCAAGAACTTGGATGATACCTGTCCCCGGCCCCGGAAAAGCCCCAATTTCGGGTACTGTGACCTTTGAGTCCAAGTACTGCAGGTAATGGAAATATAGAAAAATCATGAAATATATAGCTAGCATTGTGGCTACTTGCAGCTGAAATAGTTCAACGTGAGAAGCCCAGCGACAGCATTGGCATCACCGAGGTCCCCTACGATGAAGTCATTAGCAAACATGGCAGCCTGGAGAATCACATTTCAGCCTCTGCCAAGGCAGAACTGTTGACCGCTGCGTTGTGGCCATGACTGGTAACGGTAAACAAACCGTTGGTGGAAAATCGCTGAAAACACCTCAGTTTGTGAGATGATTTTCTCTTTCCAGCTGGTGATTTTCAACTTCCGTGAGTTCACCAACCGGTTCCGGTCCTGGTTTCGTCTTTTCAGGGGGAAGCCTCCGAAGGCTGGTACCCCATGATCTTCGTTGCCTCAGGAGTTGTACTCCCCGGTGATGTGGCTCTTGTTGGCGTGTCTTCTCTATGCCTTGATGCTGGGTGTCTCGGGAACATGGCTATGCCTCAAGGCCTCAAGGTTTGTCCTAGCAAAGCCCATGTATATATATATATATAATATGTAATAATGTATACAGTATATATATACTGTATATATATAATTATAATAACTAATAATAATGATAATAATAATAGTAATAATAATAATGATAATGATAATGATAATAATAATAGTAATAGTAATAATAATGATAATAGGAATTATAAAATTAGTGATAATAATAATAATGATAATAATAGTAGTAGTAGTAATAATATAAATGATAATAATAATGATGATAATAATAGTAACAATAATATTAATAATAATGATAATGACAACACTATCAACAATAATGACAATGAGAATAATAATGATAATAATGATAACAATAATAACGACAATAATAACGATAAGGAATCATATTATTGTTACTATTAATAATATATAATGCATTATAATATGGTCCCGATAGTATCCTATATGGTCTTAGTACTGATCCCCGACAGATTTTGGACCAGAATCCTGAAACTGATGTGAAAGGGACCGAGATCCACCCTTTGCCAAAGGCAATCTTGCTCCGTTTGGTTGTGGATCGACAAGGCAACGGACTGTGCTATTATGCTATTCAATCTTGAGAGATGTTCTTGTAGTCTAGAGAGCTATGTCTAAAATAATGGGCTAATACAAGGTGTGAATTCGATTGTACCTAGTGAACAAGTGGAGATTTCTTCAAAGTTTTTTCATATTGTGGAGCCCCATCTATGTATGACATGAGATGCTACCTCTTGGCTTGCGATAGTTTTGCTTCGCTTGGTGTTGTTGCAATTTTGGTGATGGACGATGCACCCTGTCAGGTGAAGCTTGCGTCTGGGGCCCAAGAGGGAAAGAGTGGAGATTCAGGATTCACCTTTCGCTGTTGTTTGGGGGAAATGCAGGTTACAAAGCTCTTGATCCATACCTAAGCTGAATTTATTCTGCCGCATGGACACCCATAGCAAAGTGGCATAGTGCTAGCAACCTGTGTTGTCTTTGAGCCTCAGGTTGTCTTGATTTCTTTTGATACTGGAACCCTCAACTGGTTGGTAGTTTCGAGCATGTTCCAAACGTGCCATCTCCCCAACGATAGAAAGATTATCCCAATTGAAAGTCTGTTTGTTTAGGATGGCGCAACCAAGATTCAGGGTGACCAGTGCCTTTCTGCTTGTCACAACAATGAGGCCATACTCCGTGTATGCCGGGATCCTTACATTGCAGCAACTGACACCGACCATGGGACCATGGGACCATGGGACCATGGGACCATGGCCAGAGGTGACCTATGCCTTAGCAGTGCTGTACAGTGTCTCCTTCGCAGTAGGCCTCAAGGGACCTGCGGTGAAGCGCTTCCCACGACCAGGGACTTTAGGATGAGAGTGTGATTGCTTACATTTTCAGTTGAATCTACAAACCAACTCGAAAATGTTGCAATTTGAAGGAATTTCTGCCTAGTTTGGACCGCTTGAAGAGATTCTCTAACTTCCAATCGCCAAATGAACAGCAATGATTTGGATGTTTCGATGGATTGTTGGATACCTAACTAACATTCCACAGTCAAACGCGGCCCTGCTACACAGATGGTTCATTGGTGGAAGGAGCGACGTGTTCCCAGGGTGTTCACCAGTTTTGAGACTTCCAAATGGTGCCCTTTTCCGAAAATCACCGGATGTTGAATCAACAAATCGTCAATTATACTCAAACATCATCGTGCATCATCAAACATCATCGAACATGTTCCCCACATCATCAAAAATCCAATGGCCAACATTGCCTTGAAAACCATCCGTGCCAGCACCTCTCCCATGGAATCGCGCCAGGTTACGGCCTTTTCAGTGGTGTGGAGCAGCAACATTCGGAGATCACCTCTGCGTTGGTCCGAGTGCCCTGCTGGTACAGCCGATGTGGGATATATATAATTATATAATTATATAATATATATATATGTATATATATATACTATATATACACATAATTATATCAGATATATGTGATTTGGATTTTTGTGGATTGTCAAAATGGATGCCATGGGATGCCCAAAAAAAATGATCTGTAACATTTTTTTCGATGATAGTGGGAATATGATGGGAATATGCTGGTGGATCTTGTTTTTGTTTGTTTTTTTAAATCTCATTCAGCAAAGCCATAGGTTAATGATGTTAATGCCAAGGTTGGCTTAGTTGAAGGTCCCCCACCTTTGGATACTGGGGAGAATCCCCCGAACTAGTCGGCCAGGGTCGAACTGGTCAGGCAGGGTTGAGTCTTTCAGGGTTGGTATTGCCAATGTTTGTGGTTGTAAAGCCACTGGCAAACGGAGCCCAGATACCCATGAGATTGGAGTATAAGCACACTTGTAAGTTGTAAGTGAGCATCGGTTGATGATATTTCACTGGAAAGCACACAGTGACTGAGATTTTTTAGATATTTTTGAACAATACTGGTACTCGTACCCAGCCTTGACCCAAGTGGAACCCGAATTCCATTTTCGTGATCATTTACTACGTACTATATCTTACTATTGACAGTTCCCTCCAAACATCTGAAACACAGCATTGAGCAGTTCTCTGAAACCGAGATTCGGCAATGAACTAAGAATCAACAGATTCCGAAAGCGAAACATGGATTGGAAACAACGTGGTTTTTGAGCCCTGGTGCAATCCAAAGCATTTCCTCTCGCGAGAGTGTCGATGGTAGCATGACTGCATTTTTTCAACTACCAGAATCAACCAACTCAAAACTCAAGACCGTTCAAGATACGAGTTGATTCAAAGAGTTGAAATTCAACCATTCTGAGCATTCTTTCGTAGATTTTTTGGTACTCAGTACTCAGATCATTTTTAAGGCACGAGAAAATGATCAACGATGAAGTTTTGACCTCACCTGGAGCCCCAAGGCTGGCCGAATTGCGGCGAGCCCAAAGGATGCGCAGATTGGGGTGGGGAGACCTTGGCGCCCAAATCCCAGGAAGTTCGAAAGCCATATCTCGCCGAAGATCGTGGAACAGCAGCATAAACATGTGTATATAAACATTTTCGTTTATAGATGATGTTGCCATTTAACATCTAGATTTTTCATGGCCAGCTTAGACTACCAACGTTTGACAGGTTTCGAAGAATTCCAGGCTGGAGAAGCACTAGTCACTGTAACGTTATAGGTGGGGTTATACTTCTGCCAATGTACACCCCTTCACGTTGCTTATCGGTAAGAGCTTGCCAAACGAGTATGGGTCAAAGAAAAAGACCCAGAGAAGTACAGCATTTTGAGACGTCCCATCACATATTGGGGTCCCCCAACATGTTTCTCCTCTTTGGGTCTCTTTGGGTCTTTGGGGGTATGAAATATCAACTTACCAGGTACCCAAAGGCGATCTCGAAACACCTGCACCACCGTTTGGATTACTTGTTTGTGTCACAAGTTAGTAACGGTACTAAGCATATAGCTACTTTTATTCTCGAAAATTCAAACATCACATCAAGAAATCGGCATTTCCTTGTGATAAGTCTCCAATGGCAGATCATCGCAATGCCGGGACACTGTGATATTCTCAGGGCCAGATTCATTGGGTGGTTTTGATTCAACTGCTACAAGCATGTACCATGTACAGACCATCCTGAGTTCCTTTCGGGAAGATCGGAAGATCCGAGTGTTTTTTGGGCGTATCAAGTCTTGCCCCCTTTCTGAGACACTTTCTACATGTTCGGAGGGCAGAAGGGGCCAACTTCAGGCGATCGCTTACTTGTACATTCGTGAGAGACCCATCAAGTGGAAGGTGCCCTTGAGCCCTGGTCTCAGCCTGGGCTCGGGCATTGCGGCATCCCCTGTGAGTCAAAACCTGGGATTTTTGATAACGAGGATGGGCAGCGAGCTGCCCATTCCCATAGTGCCATAGTTTCAGTGAATACCCTGACTTTTGTTTGTTATATAGCGAAACACCAGCTTTGAATGTGTGAATGTTGGATCTCTTTTTGGGGTATCGTATATTTTTGGGGGTTTCTGTGAACCATTCTCCCCTGGTCGACCTGGTCCCAGGTCCAAAGTGGCCGATGGCACCAACCTTTGAGCGTTTTCAGGCCAGTGGTTTTTAGTATGTCATGGCCCACGATTTGTCACCCTCTGGTGTGATAACATCTTACGGTATCCGGAGACTAAGCACTTTCCGCCAGGTCTTTGAATGATTTTGAATGGACAATGGGCATGTTTTATTCTGGCATTTGATGATCGAAACGGTGGTATCCTAGACAATTTGCCCAGAATCAATCAATCCATTGAGTAAGATGAGATCAACTTTGTCTCACTACGGATGGTGGATTTGGATGGATTTGGATTATTATGATTATTATTGCAATGGAATGGCCTACCTTTGCTTGATATGACAACGTTTGCACATGCTGAAGATCTTTTATGCTGCGCTCTTTGGACGTGTTGAAACTGTGTTATATTATGCACTTTGCAATGGAAGGGTCTACCTTTTGTCAAAGAACCATGCACATGTTGAAGACCTCTTAAAAACAATTGCGCTGGTTTCCAAGATATATAATTATATATATATATATACCTGTACAAAGTGAGACCAGGCTTTGCTCAACGCATATGGCACTTTTCCAACAACATAAATAACAACACACATATGTGTGCAGTTTGCTTGCCCATCCTTTTTTTCAAGTATTTCTCTTTTGTTTGTAAAAAAAATCTTAGGAAAGCAACAAAACCACAATTCATGTTTTCAGTTGGTGGCTGCAAGGTGGCAGAAGGTTGTGTGCATGTATATGTATTTGTATATGTATCTACATGTACATGTCAATGTATACGTATATATATATATATTTGTAAATGCACATGTACATGTAGGTGTACATGTGCAAATGCCCCGGTCTTCAGCTTCAGGGCGCTTTACTGGTGGGTAGCTGTGCTGGGAAGATTGGTGTGCAGCTGATCCAAGGCCTGTTGAAGGTGCAACTGGCTGGATTTATCCTCAACAATTATAGAATGGTTAGAACGGTTAGTAACTAATTAAAACATATGAAAACATATGAAAACTATTTTAGTCATGCTGTTGATTGATGGTTGTACTTCCAAAATGATTGAGGTATTGATTGATGGTTGTACTTCTAATGATTCTAATGGTTATCTAAACAGCAAAACTGATCTCCCTATCTTGGATCATCAACGATCCCATTCCCCGATTGATCGCCCAGAGCAGTGTCAAGAACCACGCTTGAGCCAACAACGAATCGGGACATCATGAGGATATTTAATGGGAGACGTTTCATGATATTTTTTTCGGTTCATGATATTTGGAGTTTATCCCTGCCTTATATATTGGGGATTGCCACAATCCATGAACCGGGAAATCCCCCAAAGCCAACAAAAAAATACGGAATTTTCACGACTCTTGTATGGTTGAATTATCAACAGAGCAGTGCTTCAATTGGTATTTGGACTTAAAATTGGTTGATTACTACTGGTTATTCTAACTACTTACTTATGTAGTGAATGTCATGACGCAGAATCGGCACGTAGTATAACGTAGCCAGGATGATGGGATGATACCAACAATGAGGGGATCTTCCATCAAGATCCGAACTTTCAGCAACGATCTGCTGTGTGGGTTAATCTGTAGTTGACATATGGGGAAGTCACCCATTTATTAAAACCACTTCGCATGTCAGGCGAATCGTGACTGTGTTTGGGAGATGTTTTTACAGATGAGGTTCCCCGAATAGCAACAGTGGACTACTCATGGGATAGCGAAACAACGGCAATTTAGTCTTTACTCAACAAACATGGAAACTTTACCAACCAAAAGGAGGGCGGTTGAACTTCCCTTAAACCAATTCTGGCATTACTTGACTTGGGAAGCCAGCCCCCCCAATCACATCATCTCGAAGTCCTGCACTTGAGAGGTACCAATGACTTAGTACTGGGATATGCATCCCTGGCTAATAAACCATATAAAAGTTGGGCTTACTATATGGCTGGCTCTAGTATTCCCATTATGCACCCTTTCTGGGTGCACATCAAAGTGGCTGAATTTGCAGCTGCGACAGCGATGTCACTTGGTGTTTTGTCGGTGGGATGTATGTGCGTCCCCATGTGCCCATGAGGGCATGCCGTTGAAGACTCCCTAATCAAGGTTTCTGTTGGAATGTGACGTGGAGACGGAATCGGTGAAGGCGCAGCTCCCTTTGCTGCATGAAGCGTGGCAGGTGCAACAGCAGTTGTGGCAGATCCAGCTTCAGCAGCAGGAATCTCAGATTCTCGCACAGCTGAAGTTACAAGCCCTGGATAGGTTCCATGAAGGATCCGGCAAATTCGGGGTTTGTGGGAGCACCAGTCATGGAGAACAGCATCTGCGGCAGGTCCAAGTACAGCATAGGCTGCAGTGACCAGGCTGCACCATGGTCACAGAAAACCACCAGGAAAATCAGCGAAACCAGCAGCTATCGGACCAACGGGCGCAGTCATCCTTTCCAGTCAGCTGGATCTCAGGAGGTCGGAGGCTGACTTGTGATGACAGCTTATGATGACAAGAGATTTCACACGTTTCACACATGTTTCCCGTGCGAAGTGGTTCTCAGGGCTGCCGTAGTGCCACCATGATTCCCCTAATTCATCAATGTCAGCTCACACATTTCAGCAACTCATTCGCACCCCTGAAGTTGGCACATGGTCGGCAGGTGTGTTGCATTTACTGACAATGGGACTATGTCACCCATTTGGATGAGTTTTGCTGAAGTGCTCAGAGCATCTGGCAGTTGGGGTTTGGAATGGGTGGCATTGCAAGTAATTAGTATGATTGCCGCCTGCGAGCAACCAGGAAATGTCAACCTCAGAATGACTATAGGAGGCGAAAACATGGGAACACCTTTGGCTCTGTCCCGCCTTTTTTCTTTGCATTTTGTGAAGATCCGATCGGATCGCAAATTCTGAACGCCGTTTGGGCTGACAGGTGCAGCAAGAATTGTCCGCGCCACTAGAAGAGCGAACTCTGCAGTTTTGGCCTCAGAAAACAGCATTGCTTGTGGGCCAATGAACATCTCGAGTTTCGTAGGAGTTTATAATTATACGTACATATATAATCACATATATATATATGGATTCACACACTGTGCGCTATTAAACGCTCCCCAGCATGTCATGTCATTTCATGCTCTATTCAAGGTGGTGCCCGTCAGTTATAAGTTGTTTTGTATAACCCATCAAGTATTATGGATATACTATGATATATAATGATATATATATATGTATACACACCATAAACCCAACAGTTATCTTATTTACAAACCAACTTAGTTCACTGGGGCACCACCTTTTGGTAGAAAAAGTGTGGAAAATTAGGACCTCATCCTGGCGGAAACTCCCGAAGTCAGATTGCTTCCCGTAATGGGCCGATTGGTAACACAGAACGAGGGGCTGGATTTTAACATTCCAATGTCAATCCCGAAATTGTTTCCCATATTGGATCGTTCAGTGACTCAGACATGAAGAGATTGACTTTGTTGTCCCATTTTCATCCATTTTCCAGCCATACAGCCATAGAAACATAGTTGACAGCCACGTGGTTTTGCAGTACTGGGATATTTGTTCCAACAAAGCAGGTGGTTACTATGGTTCTTATCCACAAAAACGAGTGGGACAAGGACAAGCCCCACTAAACCTGCCAAGCCTCTTTTTATATCTCCACTTAATGACTGAGATGAACCTCCCTTCAGGTTTTACTGCTAATGAAACATGAGTTCTTTGCTGTGTGTATTGTCGGTTTACCGTGGATTTGGTGGTGGTCAGTGAATGGTTGATCACTGGGCTGCTAGATTATCCGGTGTAAAAGCTGGGTGGTCGTCGTCGTTGTCGTCGTCATCATCATCATCATCATCACGACAATGATCATTATGATTCCATCATGATGCTCAGGAGGAAGAAGAAGTAAAGAAAATCACATCTGTCTTTTAAGATCAATGATTGGCATAGGGGTCGGTAAAAATAAGAAAATGACAAGAGACCAAGATGAAGATTGCCGGACCCAATCACTCCAGGCTGAAGAACCTGAAGAAGCTCACGCCGGACGAAATTCTGCACGTGGAGTGACTGGGCCCGCTTGAAGAGTCGCAGTTTGTGGATATTGGGTGGTGATTTCCAGGAAGAAACATTTTTTTTCAATATAGTTTCATTTTCTTTGTTCTTTTTTGTTTCGGTGCTTTCGAGGGTTTTACAGAGAGAGAGAGAGAGAGCGAGAGAGAGCGAGAGAGAGAGAGAGAGAGAGAGTGAGAGAGAGAGTGAGAGAGATGTTGGGATATGGTCGGATGAACGGGACCAGAATATGCTTTCAAGAAGCAAAAGTTAGATAGGGAGCAAGTCACATGGGAGCACTCAGGAACATGTAAGAAGGGTTGCCTCGAAATTGAGATTCGGGGTGGGAAGTAAGAAATGCACGTTGACATTTTCCGCATAAAGGTGTCATTTTGGGATATTACCCATTTTCGGACCAGACAAACCTATAGCGATGCAACTGCTGGCTGTTCCACGTGAAAAATGCTTCAACTTCTGAGCCTCGCGGCGCCGGTTGGGTTTGTCTGATCGGGTTCCCTGAAATCCAATTCCGCATCATTTTCCTGGATTTTCACTGCTTGAGACTTGAGAATTCTTGACATTCACGACACTTGGGATGATTTAGTATATTTAGGGGGATCAATTATTATATTCCCCCAATTCGTATATTTTATACACTAAAAAGGATAAAATTTGGGGGATTGGCACATCTTGGGTACCTTCTTTTGTTGGTCGACAGGGATGCCACTCTGATCTCTCAGGGTCCAGAAAGAAGTGAAACGCTGGAGGCCTGTTGCACTCAGGAAATTTGCTTGAGGATTTTGGGAGGTCCGTATGATTGGGAAATATGGGCGGTATACTTTATACAAGTATACACTTATTGACTTATTGACTTATAGACAGAGATATATACACACCGATTTATTTTTTGTTTATCTATGTAAATGTGAGTGTGCATATATATATATATAGCACACATGTTATGTATACATGTATAGCATACATGCTATAAATATATACACATACATACACATATATTCATTGTATGTCTTAAGACATACATGATCATTTAGATTCCTACATGCATTACATGATTATATCATCTATATACACATACCTATACATATAATATACATACATGTATAGATTCTATATGTTGTAGTGGTATCATTTGGCGCAACATCGGAATTTCTGCTTCATTCACACGCCACCCGAGGCCGCACGTGCGATTTCCGACTTTCGAATGGCCCGTGGGACTTCCAGTCCCCTGGCGCAGGCTGTGCCTGACCCCGGACTGGGAGGCCAAAATCAGGGATTAAACCATGAAGTCTTAGGTACTCTTATAGGGGTTTAACGGTTTCAGAGGTGCTTATTCTATATTAGTACATGTATAATGATATCTATATACAGTATATTGTACTATATGTTTATACATATATATATAAATAGATATAGATATAGATGTAGATGAGACTAAACATGTGGAATGCAAGAGTGTAATTAGACATTTGGTGTTTTTTTTGTCATGCTTTTACCATGAGGTACAGTCAAGCAAGATACTGGGGCACTAGAAATCTACCATCTGAGATGGTAGGGATCCAGTACCCTCTTTGGGATCCATTTTGCAACGCAAGACGCGAGGCTTTCTTCAGATGGCCCGGAAAGGTTTCTTCATAGACTGATAACATCTAGTATAATCTAACCGAATCCAATCTCACACAGTGGCTCCATCTATATTTATTTTGATTCAAGATGATTCAAGCATAAAATTCTATAGCTATTCTAAAGCCATTTGCATATATTATATATTAATACCATGGATTTTCCTGTCAAGATACAGAAAGCCTTTCGGCCTGATTCCAGGCCCCTGCCAGTGCGGAAAGGCGTTGTGGAGGCAACGAGTTTGAACGATTTGTTGGAAGGTGTTGTTGCTAATGTGAAGCAAACATGTGGGATTTAACCACCAAAAATGGTGGTATAGTAGGATATAGATGGAATATAGCGGGAAGATGATGGACATGTGATCGGAGACGAGAAATATAGGGGGGTTATCACGGCGGATCCAATTGGATGATCTCGGCATAGAACCCATTGATTACTAGGGGGCTTGAGCGTCAATGATATTTTTTTTTATCCCACCCCCCTTTAATCAAGGAATATTTTTTTTGGGGGGGGGTAGGACAAGAAATTTCGCAGACATATTTCACCTGACCACATGAAATATACCCCCCCCACATGTTTTTTGGGCTTCCAAAAGAAGTGGGGGGTCCTCTGGATGCCACATTTTAGCCCAGAGATGGTATGGCACACCCTTTCATTTTCGACGTATGTACATACATATATACATACATGCATGCATTCAACCAGGCGCTGGAGAGACCATTACAAAACCAGATTTTTTTCAGCTGAAATATTTCTAGGTGTGGGGGGGACACCCCAACCCCGAGAGATGGACTGTTAGGAACTATGCGACAAAAGGCCTTTGACAAAAATGACCTGGAGAGATAAGGAACAGCCATCCTCAGGTTATAGCTCATCTTGCATGATAACTTGCTGCTACGCTTCGGCTCTTCACTTGTACTTAAGCACGCACTTGCTTCTCTGGTAAAGGTTTTTACAGTACCTTAGCATTGTCCAACCTGTTTTTTTGGGCTATTCTATAATCATACTCTGGTCCTTTTCGACAGACAACAACAAAAAGAAGAAGAAGAAGAACAACAACACCACCACCAACAACAACACCAACAACACCAACAACAACACCAACAACACCAACAACAACACCAACAACACCAACAACAACACCAACAACACCAACAACACCACCAACAACACCAACAACACCAACAACAACACCAACAACACCAACAACACCAACAACACCAACAACACCAACAACACCAACAACACCAACAACACCAACAAAACCAACAACACCAACAACACCAACAACACCAACAACACCAACAACACCAACAACACCAACAACCACCAACAACACCAACAACAACCAACAACACCAACAACCAACACCAACAACAACACCACCAAACAACAACACCAACAACACCAACAACAACACCAACAACACCAACAACAACACCAACAACACCAACAACACACAACAACACCAACAACACCAACAACACCAACAACACCAACAACACCAACAACACCAACAACACCAACAACACCAACAACACCAACAACACCAACAACACCAACAACACCAACACCAACAACAAACAACACCAACAACACCAACAACACCAACAACACCAACAACACCAACAACACCAACAACACCAACAACACCAACAACACCAACAACCACCAACAACCACCACACCAACAACACAAGAACAAGAACAACAAGAACAAGAACAAGAACAACAACATCAACAACATCAACATCAACATCAACATCAACATCAACATCAACATCATCAACAACAACAACAACAACATTAACATTAACATTAATATTGGTTGGCATGCAAGCTGGGAAGTTCTTGTGTGAGAAATAATTTTGCTGGCAGGCACTGGTGATCCATTTCGAGGCGCTGTTCCTATCGCTTGTTCTCCTGGAAATTTGCCTTGTGACCCCCCAGCCCATCCAGGAGCTCCTGTTCGCCTTGGAGACGGGATAACTTTTGACACCCTGGAATGGCTGCAAGCCGGTGTCGAGGCCATGTGTGTTTGGGTGTCTTTCTTGTACATTGTTAGAATATTTTCTTTCCTTTCGTTTGTATGTCTTCTGCGTCGCTGCGGCATGGCACGCAGGTTCCCACTCCTACTGCTGCGAGCCCTGGCGCAAAGTCGCCGGAGAAACGTGGCAGGAAGAAGGCGCGGGACAGGGTCATGAATTTGCGAATTTTCTTTTACGGCATCTTTTGTTATCTGTTGGCATTTTCTTTTGTTGATGCTTCTCAATCCTGGATTGTTGCTTCTCAAGCCCGGTGTCAAAACGTCAGGCACAGGCGAGCAGCTTCAAGATGACGCGTGTGAGAAAGGCCCGAGTTATATTTCGGATCTTCATGTGTTGCTTTTGAAGATGCTCGCTTGCTTCCGGTTCTTGCAGAAGATCTCTGGCGATGCTGATGAGCGCCGCTGGCGCAACCGCCGTGCAAAGGCGGCAGCGAAGGCTGGGGAGGGTTTGGTTTAGAGTTTTGACTTGGCGACTAAACATTTTCGACTGCAAGCCTTGTTGCTTGGACCCTGAAGGCGGCAAAGTTTCGAGCGAAGGCTGGGGAGGGTCCCCAATAAAAGCTGAGCATGTGAAACTGGTTGGCATGCAAGCCTTGTTGCTTTGACCCTGGAGGCGGCAAAGTCCTGCCCGCTGCCGAAGCCCAATATCTTTGCACCCTCAGTTTGGCGGGTCCTGTGGCTTGTTTTCATTTTGGTTGCGCTGTGTGCCATGTGTTGTCAGCTTCTCTGTTGCTGTGAGGTCTTTTCCCGCGTGCCGTTGGCAGCTATGGCCTTAGCACGTTCGCTTCACCGTACTTCCTTTGTTTTTGCTTGCTGAAAAGGAAATGATCTGACAGAAGAACTTATATTCGAAAAATTAGGCCAAAGTGCTTCCTTCGACGGCCAATGGGCTCATTTTTCCTCGCATGCCGCGACCTCGGTTGTTATTTCTGTTTCCCTCTGGCTGCATGCTTTTTCCGGAATCGTGGCGCCAGGTGAGAAGCGTGGATCGCAATTTTATGCCGTCACACACGCGTCAAGGCGCAAGAAAGAAGGAGAGAGCTAGAGAGCGGAGTGATTTATATAGCCAACACTTGAATGTGCGCGCGTGTTTACGTGTGTGTTGGCTATGCTTTCTGGTGTCTAAACTGTTGTGCTAGGTTTGGGGAAAGGCTTCTGCCGTCCACCGTCTTTGGCCAGCTTCATGGACCAAGGCGGCGTCCGCTCCTCGGTTTTCGCTTGCGTGATCTTTTCTTGCCTTCGTGTTCATGTTGTTTTTTTCTTTTCGTGGTGATATGCTTTGGTGCTTTGACGTCTCTGTGCTGCTAAGGCACATTGGCGGTACAAGCCAAACCATTTAATGTCCAACAAGGTGCGGACTCAAAACAGCAACGCCTCCCTAGCGCTGTTCCGTAGTTCTTGTCGCAGCCTGCAGGACAGAAACAAAGAGCAGCACGCGAAGAAGGGCAACGGCGTCAGAACCTAAGCTGCGCGAGTCTTTTCCAGTTTGAAAGTACGTCAGGCCATGCGGGGATAAATTACGATTCAGAAACTTCCCTGATTCAGCAACTCCGATTCAGAAACCCAATCCAGCAACTCCAAGGATTCAAGAAACTCCTGTTTGCCACGATTCAGAAACTCCACTGTGTCCCGATTCGGAAACTCCTGGTTGACCCGATTCAGAAACTACTGGTTACCTTTCATAGAGTCCTTGTCGCGATTGCAAATCAGAATCATTTTCTAAATTAAACTCCCCCCCAAAGCCCTACATGCAATGGTATTCCTGGTATTCCTCAATTCGCAGCCTCCCCCCTCCTCTTCCGTAGAGTTCTCGCACGGTTGCGAGTCATTTTCCAAAACTTCCCCCCCTATAAGCCCTACACGCAATGGTATTCCTCAATTCGCAGCCTCCTCTTTCATAGAGTTCTTGTCACGATTGCAAATCATTTTCAGAACTTCCCCCCCAAGACCTATATGGAATAGTAGTCCTCAATGCACATCCTTCCCTTTCATAGAGTTCTTGTCACGATTGCAAGTCATTTTCTAAACTTCCCCCCAAAGCCCTACATGCATGGTATTCCTCAATTCGCAGCCTCCTCTTTCATAGAGTTCTTGTCACGATTGCAAGTCATTGTTCCCCACATCTTTGTGTGGGGTACTTGTTTTTGGTTGTGCACTTCCGCCTGCCCCCTCTTCCATGACACCCGCCGCCTGCCCACAACTTGTCCACACACCACTTGTCACCACACAACTTGTCCACACACAACTTGTCACCACACAACTTGACCACACACAACTTGCTCACACACAACTTGCTCACACACAACTTGTCCACACACAACTTGACCACACACAACTTGTCCACACACAACTTGTCCACACACAACTTGTCCACACACAACTTGTCACCACACAACTTGCACACACAACTTGCTCACACACAACTTGCTCACACACAACTTGCTCACGGTCGCCGCGGCTGTTGGCGTGGCAGGCGTGGCACTTGGTGACATCGACTTTCGCTTTGCGTGGCAGGCGTGGCACTTGGTGACATCGACCGTCACTTTGCGTGGCAGGCGTGGCACTTGTGGCACTGGACTGGCTCTGGTGCCGCGCTTGTGTCTCATGCGGTCGCCCCGGCTGTTGGCGTGGCAGGCGTGATACTTGGTGACATCGACCTTCACTTTGCGTGGCAGGCGTGGCACTTGGTGACATGGACCGTCACTTTGCGTGGCAGGGACTGGCTCTGGTGGCACGCTTGGGTCTCGGCGTGGCAGGCGTGGGTGACATCGAGCTTCGCTTTGCGTGGCAGGTGTGGCACTTGGTGACATCGACCATCACTTTGCGTGGCAGGCGTGGCACTTGGTGACATCGACCGTCACTTTGCGTGGCAGGCGTAGCACTTATGGCACTGGACTGGCTGTGGTCGCGCGCTTGGGTCTCCCGCGGTCGCCGCGGCTGTTGGCGTGGCAGGCGTGGCACCTGGTGACATCGACCATCACTCGTAGCAGGCGTGGCAGTTGGTGACATCGACCGTCACTTTGCGTGGCAGGCGTGGCACTTATGGCACTGGACTGGGCTCTGGTGGCGCCCTTGAGTCTCCCGCGGTCGTTGTGGCTGTTGGCGTGGCAGGCGTGGCACTTGGTGACATCGAGTGGCACTTGGTGACATCGACCGTCACTTTGCGTGGCAGGCGTGGCACTTATGGCACTGGACTGGCTCTGGTGGCGCGCTTGGGTCTCCCGCGGTTGCTGTGGCTGTTGGCGTGGCAGGCGTGGCGCCTGGTGACATCGACCGTCACTTTGCGTGGCAGGCGACCGTCACTTTGCGTGGCAGGCGTGGCACTTATGGCACTGGACTGGCTCTGGTGGCGCGCTTGAGTCTCCCGCGGTCGTTGTGGCTGTTGGGGTGGCACTTGGTGACATCGAGTGGCACTTGGTGACATCGACCGTCACTTTGCGTGGCACGCGTGGCGCTTATGGCACTGGACTGGCTCTGGTGGCGCGCTTGGGTCTCCCGCGGTCGCTGTGGCTGTTGGCGTGGCAGGCCTGGCACTTGGTGACATCGACCTTCACTTTGCGTGGCAGGCGTGGCGCTTGGCGAACCGTCACTTTGCGTGGCAAGCGTGGCGCTTGGCGACAGCGACTTTCACTTTGAGTTTCCAAAACTTCCCCCCCAAGCCCTACACGCAATGGTATTCCGCAATTCGCAGCCTCCTCTTCCATAGAGTTCTTGTCACGATTGCAAGTCATTTTCTAAACTTCCCTCCCCAAAGCCCTACATGCAATGGTAGTTCCCAATTGACAACCTCCTCTTTCATAGAGTTCTTGTCACGATTTGAAATCACTGGATAAATTTTCCCCCCAAAGCCTGTCGGGAATATCAGATCATATGAATGTGTATATTGCTGTTTCTGGAATATCCGTTGGCGATTCCGTCCTGGCAGCCTTGCTTTGATACGAATGAACTCAAAACTGTTTGGCTCTGGCAGCGCGACCACGTCGGATGCGGGGTGCTCCTCAAGCTTTCCAGGAACGCGTCTCGACTTTTTCAAATTCGGGCCTAGGAGTTTGCGAATCAGAGTTCGGAGAAGTTTCCGAATCCGGGCAGTTACGACGAAGTTTCCGAATCCGAGGGCCTGGAAGTTTCCGAATCTGACGTTGCAGTTTCCGAATCCGGGGGGCGGCGAGTTTCCGAATCCTGGGAGCGGCGAGTTTCCGAATCCGAGGGCCTGGAAGTTTCCGAATCCGACGTTGAAGTTTCCGAATCCGACGTTGGCCGGCAATGCGGTCTCGGGCGTGTTCTGTCTTACCCAGGCCCCTTCTCCAAACGTGCAGCCCCAACCTCAGTGGTTCAAATTTTCATGACCGAACCATGCTGCATTGCCAGAGCCGTCCCTGGCTTGAAATCTTTTCTCATTATTGCATATGTTGGGCACGCCATGCATAGCGGAATTGTGTCCAGGCAATTGGTTGTTTTATTTTGGAACCCCTTCGCGTCCGGACCTCGAAGCTTCAGCGGCGCAAGCTCAAAGAGGTTGAGTTCTTGATTCATTCATGTCATGAAGTTGTAAAACGAAGTAATTTGCGACGCTGACTCCGTCTGGGTTTCCCCGAGGCAAGGCGGAGATGCGAGAAATGAGGCCCCAAGCCTTGCTGCTGTTTTCTTTTATTTTGTCTTGACAAGTAAGAGATTTGTTTTTTTCGTTTTTTTTGGGAATGCGACTGAACATCCGTGTCTTCATTGCGCAGGCGGCGCCCAAGGCATGCTTCAAACCCATCAAGGTCACGGGCGACGGCGATTGTTTGTTCCACGCCCTTGGCCATCACGATGGGTACGATGGGGGAGCCTTGCGCATTGCTGTGGCAGACTTCCTCCAGGACAATGCGCGCGCGCGCGCGCACCGGGGCTCAATGGTTGTATGTCCCTTCTCTTGTTGTTTGATTTCTTTTTAATTTTCACGAATGTGACTAGGCTCTGGACTGTTGATCCGGGCGGGCATGTCATGTTCAAGTTCCAAGAACCGTTGGATGTCTCTTTTGTAAATCTCGAACGCCCCCCCCGAGATATATTTCTTCACAAGCAGGGCCGTCAGTCACATAGAACGGAGCAGTCCAAGCCACGACCCCCCCCCCTTTTCGATATATTTCAGTTTTTACCACCCCCCCTTAAAGGGGGTGGGATATTTTTTTCACAGTGTAGTGATGCCAAATCCGGATATCATCCAGAAATGATGGTAGTACTGGGTAAAATTGGGCGACCTTCTTGTAGGTTTTGGTCTTGGGTGGACTTGTCGCTTCTCTTTGGATTCTTTGGGGCGTACTACAGCATTGAGTACCATGCAATCCCGGATAGGCAGGACATTGTCTTTTGGACATATCCAGGGTGTTTTGCCCATGAAAATTGTGCGACATTCGCCACTTGATAGCTGGGTTTTGACGGGTCAAAATTTGAGATCCTACCAACGGCTTTTGGTCATTGTCATGTGTACACATCATGTCAGTATGAAGTACCCAATTGTTTCAGGAACTCTAGAGCTATATCTTAATGTTGAGTGTTTTGTGCCAACTCTTGTGAATTATATTTTCACTTCGTTGCTTGTAGCACTTTTTTTGCTCAGCAAACCATCCACTTTTTTTTTGCTGCCTCACTTGAGACAGGCCATCCCTTCTCGAAACCCTGCAGCACACCTTGACAAATGATAGAAGATGATAGAAGATTGGCTCTGAAAAGGCGAGGGATCAGCCCACGAAGGTTGCTTTGCAAAATTATTTAGTTTAGTTTCAACGTTGCAGCAACGTTGCACATGAAAAGCATGAAGAGCAAACCGAATCCATGCCGATCTGACCGATCTGATTGCTGTTTTTGTATGTTTTTGTCGTGTTTTCAACCGTTAAATCTGCATTTTGACACCTTCTTCGTTTCAAAGTTTCGTTTTGCAGCTTGGACCCCTCAGTGTGGACACACTGTTTGGGGAATCAGGGGGGAATCATCACCCTTAAATCCGCATTTTGATACCTTCTTTGTCTGAAACGTGCAAAGCGCTGAGGGGGTTTGTAAGATGAGTTGAAGCAGCATGACTGTAAAGTGTGGCAGTGTGCGTGCTTGGTCGCTGCTGTTTGTTGCTCTCAGTGCAGCATACGTCAATGCCAACAAAGCCAACCATGCCAGGCATGAAATGGGTCTTCTACCTGTGCTTGTCAGTTTGTGCGACAAGCTTGTGGGGTTGTGGCGAAGAACAGAAGAACCCTTTGGTGGAGGAACACTTCGGCACCAAACGCTTTGAAGACATTGGGTGCCCTTTTTCTGCAGATCTCAGGGCGTGGTGCACCAAATGTGTGGAGGATTTGTTGGCGCAGGACAACCAATACGTGCAAATTTTGCTGGACCGATACCTCGGCGCAAGCAGGCTGTTAGTTCAGGACACAGCACGGCTCTGGCAATCAGAAGTGGAGCGACATGTGCCGTGATTGACCTGGCCGCCCTGCTGGTTTGACAGAAGGAAAAAACTTTGGCAAAAACAGCTGAGCGACACCAAGAGTTTCACTAATCACCCAGGGTTTCACTTTGCATGGCTAAGGGCTCCCATCAAGTGGATCTTTTATTTTCCTGTTGCCTGTGTGGACACATATCTGCATTGCAATTGATTGCGATTTTTGAAGGGTTTTTTGCTTTTCTTTGGACCACAAGACGAGACATGGAGAAGGTGGCTAACATGTTGACTGAGCTGATAACTCTGACAACCACCCAAGTGAAGACATCTCATAACATCACACTTTTCTGAGTACGAACTAGATTGGGGTCAGATTTCATGTTTCGAACCGGTGCAACAAAATTCACCTACTCCTTCCAGATAGGCTTTACATGCTTTGTTCTGACTGAAAATGGGATGGATTGGTGACCAACATTCAGTTTTCTTGGTTGCGTTTTTGAAATGTGGGCAACATCTATTTGAAACGCTGGAACGCCTTCTTTGAGACACATGTGTGAGTCAGGGGCAGAAGATCAAACCGCCTGACAAATATATCTTGGCGGAAGCGCCGGGTGCTTAGTGCGTGTGGTAGGGAAGCAAACCTAAGCATCCAGTCCAGTGAATCGTCAGATTTCCCATTCAGATAGAGGGGCTTAATCAAACGAATGGAAATTGAAACGTTGAAGACATGGATTTATCTAATGAAACTTTGGAGTCGCCTATTTTTGGGCAAACCGGTTTCTACTGAAGTTATACTCCCATTTATCCACGATTTGTCATAAAACCCGAGGTGGTCCATGAGTATCATTGACAAGTGGAATTCTGGCTATCTTGGGGACTACCCCAGCCACCCCAGGAACCAAGAAGCCAATTGATTGGACAATAGACTAGAAATTGGGAACTTTCTTTGCCAAGATACCATTTTCAACATGAACATCAACGATAAATAGGGATTGATTGGCGAAGTTTCCAAAGAATACAACACCACCAATTTTTTTTGATAGTGAAATCATCTGAAATCCCGACGCTTAGGGTAGAACTCCGCAGAAATGGGATCGCATGTCGCATGGTGAATCTTTAAAAGCACCCGGGGCTATGTTAAAATTTGGACCCCCATTCTATCAGTATGGTTCAAAATATCATCATGCCCAGTAAGGTTGTCATAAATTGAGATGATGTTGCTATCCAAACCCATCTCCCTTTTTCGTTGTTAAAATCATTTCGTTTGAATGCTTTTGATGGTTAAAGTGAACCCCCCAATTTTGACTGATTACACTACACCTTGATTTTTTCATTAAATTACCCATTAAATCATCATTTTCATGGTTATTGTAAGCACCAATCTTTAATGGTTATATAAAATATAAACCTTATTTGTTCGTTATTTAGCGTGGCTATGGAACAACAATTTGTTAAAACCAAATAATCATACATCATCTGTTTCTATGGGCAATTTTCCTAGCGAACTGTTAACTCACCAGAGGGTATATTCATTATTTCCAGTTGTATCTCCATGAAGTATCCCATGAGACCATCATATTTGATGCTTAAGTCATCATTTTTGATGGTTCATCCCAAGTTTGCATGGCCGAGGCACCAGCAGTCGACTCCAGCCCTGGCGTTTCTGATGGCCGGAGCAAAGAAGTGGCCGGCCGTGGAGGTGCTATTTGGGTGGCTTGAAATGGGGATGACGCCCCAAAATAGCCATTTCAACAGGGGTAATGATGATGAACTAGTGGAGATTTCGGAATAGGCTATTTTCAGACAATCTCAAATATGAATGTAAGGTAAAAGGTATATATCTTATACATTATCTACGAAATCTGGGTGATTATTGGAGACCGTTCTTTCCTATGGCCTTGTGATGTTTGGATGTTTGGACATGTGAAGTTCCTTCATTTGTGCCGAATCGTAAAATCTGTTGTGTTTGGATGAGATCTGTATATGGGTGATCTTTTCAGGATCTCCTGTTGAAATATGCCCATGGACTCCCCGTGCTGAGGGTTTCACTGCTGATTAAGTGGGACAACTCGTGACACTGTTCCACTCACGGCTGTAAACTTACTAATTCTATCAGTTCTATCATGTCACAGTCACAGTCTGTTTTAAGAGGGAGAAGTGGGGTGAACCCCTCCACCTTCAGCCAGGCTTGTGCGCTTTGGTTGCCCTGGATCTTGCTCTTGCAGGCCCATGTGCGGCGCCGCTTCAAGGTGGGTATCCGAATGATCCCAGAATCCTTGGAGAAACTTCATCATGTTTAGACATGCTTAAACGTCTACACTTGAGAACGGTGTCAAACTTGGTGAATGGTAGGTAGAAGGACTATTTGTTTGCGAATGGAGACATATCATACTCGCTATCAAATATGATTTGATATATGGAGGTTTCCCAAAATGCGGGGTACACCCAAATCATCCAAGTCAGACAATTTTAGTATTGCAACCCATGGTTTGGGGATCCCCCCATTTTAAGAAACCTCCATAGGCATCCCTCTGTGGCATTCCTTGGTCAGGTGCGCGCCTTCGGAGAGCCTCAAAAGATCCTTCCCAGCGAGAAACGTCACGTCCAGTGATTCGTTGCTCGTTGCAAAAGAAGGACACCACAAAGTCCAGTTTTTTATTTTGGCCATGTACCCTTTGGTAAAACATCACTATGGCAAAATCCACCCATGCTTTTCATGGGAAAACTCACTAGACTATCAATGGCCATCTATACAAGTTCGCAAAGTGTTAGAAACATAACCGGAGGGTAATGGGATGCAATGGGATCATGATGTTCACAGCAGAATACGGCACTGACTCAGGACGTTGTTTTCAAGTGCTACGCAAGATCTGGGCGACCACTGCCCCAGATCAAATAGTTTAATTCTGAGGGCCACGAAGAGTGACCACATGTCACTATTGATTCCATTGCGAAGTGACCGGCCACCTGGCAGTCAAACAGATGATTAGGCCCCAAAACCATTACCCAAACACATCTACCCGTTTTTTTTTCTAATAATGGAGGTTTTACTTTCCTTCGCGAGAGATTTATCACAGTGGAATCCCCTATCAACCCGTGGTGTTCCATATTGGCTAGATTCGGATCCTGATCTCTTCATGGGATTTGCATGGCTGTTTTTCATTGTTTTTCCCACTACTCATCTTCTGGCCTCGGCCTCCCGGCTCAATGGCCATCCGTCACTTAGCTTCCCGCGGTAGCTGAAGAAAGCAGAGCGCGACCCAGCCAGGGTTGACCAACCATCTGAGACTGCGGATGAACATTTCTAAGACCCCTTGGTTGAATCCCCTCCCACTATAGTTACACCATGTTACACCCCCCACCATGGAGAAATACAGGGATGATGCTACCATATATTTGGGACCATTTAGGGGCTGTTAAATTTTAGGATGGGATAAGTATTCCACTGTAAAGAAACATGTGGGGTACCCCACTTTTGACCCATTCCATAGCCATCTGTCAATCTCAAGCAGATGTTGGCCCATGTCGGACAGCAGATGAACTGGTCATTGGTCGGCCCTGGTTCTGCCCAGCTGTACATATTGTTCCTTGGCTTTCACGGATCATTGACCTACAAGACATAAGAACGAACAGACCTGGGTGCACAAGCAGATATAGTGCGAATGTACGATTTAGATCATGAACGCGGGAGAAGATGGATAAGAACCACGCAAACATGGCTATCTTAATAGGGAAAATGATGACTTACACATGGATTTATGGGTACACTATTTTTGGACAAAACCTGTCGCCATGGGTTGGAACTGACCTGGAAAGCCAAGAGCTGCGCTCTGGATACAGCCAGCCACCATGTCCTGAAAACAGCTGCGCTGCGCGTAGTCGGCACCGGCAGATTGATGGGACCAACAGAAACATCTTTTCCCTGACAGAGCCGCAGTTTTCTGGGATACTTATAAGACTTATGCGTTAAAAAATGGGCTGAATGTAGGGCTTTAGGGATACATGCCATAGAGGTCCAACATGTTTGGCATAGGTTTGGCCTTGGATGTTTAATTCGGCGGGGGCTAGAGCCATCAAAAGGCTTGTGTCGAGGGTACTTGGCAAGTCTTGATGGGAAGATAGCCGGAGATTGGGCCACAACTGATGAGACTAATCAACATGGGATAATGATGGATACATGTAATGTAGACCTGCCAGGGCCATATTCCTGGAATTTTGCTGACTTTACTAGAAGAAAAAAAGCGGACCCAGAGCTTCTCTGTGTGTGCCTTCGTGTACTGATTTCTAGAACCTGTCTCTGAGTTTCGATTCAAACACTGAAGATCCGCAATCTTTGAGGGCGCAAACCCTGAAGCATCATCGTTTTGGAGATGCGATGCGCACAAAGGGAACCAGATCCACCTGTCACCCATGACTTGTGGAGGTACCAGCAGGGCGGAAGTCAATACATCACGCCCGGGTGGCTCACCGACGCCGGGGTTGGATAATTTTTTTGGACCCAGCTGGTGAGAAGTTGAATCTCATGAGGTTCAGTCAACATTTGGGATTCCAAATCTTTGTGGCGCCGTCTGTTGGCATCATGTTTTCTTCCTTTTTTTCAACATCATAACCTTTGCTTCAATAGTATCAGCAAGTTGGCATCTCTAGCCTTCACTTATTATATTGGGTCCAGAAAGTCTGCCCCAAAATTGTCATGCAAATTTGTCACAAGGTATGCCCGAAAATTGGGATTCGCCATTGGAATTGTAGTATTTACCCCATATTTACCCCATTGGACTAAGCCATTCAGCTTCTTCATCCAATTGAGCTTGGGGCATCTTCCAAGGTACAGCCATGGTGCTGTCTACCATGGAGGTCATGAGCCAAGGCAGGGGATGGCAGGGATGGCAGGGGCAGAGGAACCCGCCATTGCAACCGGGTCACCGTTGCACCAGGTTTCCAGGTGGCACGGGCTACACCTCAGGCTACACCTCAGGGTACACTACTCCGTGGCCGGACGGCAGTGCAGTTTTCGGACATCACATATCTTTTGTTTCGGGAAAAAAACATCAAAATGACTGGTAACCACCCCAAAACATATCCAAATATAGTGTAACACGACCAAACTTGGTGAAGCCCGCTAGTTCGTAGTCGTAACGATCAAAATCTTAGTAGTTAGTATACCCCAACATTTTTGGTCAATCTGATGGAGTGGGAAACGCGGCTTGAGGTTCACTAGTGCAGTTCAGAGATCGGGCTCGAATTCGGCTCAGGGCTTAGTGGCTTAGTGGGGTGCGTGCTGGAGGTGGGATTTTTCTGGGCTCACTGTTGTGATTGATGACTTTGTGGGATGAAATTGTCTTGCAACAAAAATGTGGATCATGCTGTACAAATGGATATGATATAAATGAGAAAATAGAAAAACCAGCTAAAAATCAACTTTGATTTTTCTCCGGCATCAAAGAACTTGGATGGTTTGTGGGTTTCCATTGGTCCAGCCTTGTGGATTGGTCATCTTCACCATCTAAAATGGAGGTACACCCCAAATCATCCACAAAAAGATCATCTTAGCATTGAAAGCCGTGGTTTTGCAATGTTTTGGGGATCCAGCACTTTAAGAACCCCCCAATTGGTATCAAAACCAATTCAACAGCCATGTTTCCGACCAGTCGTCTTGAGCCATGTTTCCGCACTTCCATGGATCCCCACTCTTCCAACCTTGGAGATGATTGGATTCAGGATCCCAACGAGTTGTGTTTTTTTGTTTCTACTTGGGTACCTGTGAGTGAGATGTCTTCCTGACAATGATCATTCGGACCATTCATTGTCAGGTCCAAATGGATCCAAATGGTGCAAGTTCTTGGCAATGGTTGTTGAGTCCCCATGGAATCCCCCGAAAAGTCTACACAAGTCCCCAGGAATCGGTGAAGAATGCGGTTCTAAGGAGCTGGCCTCGGACTATCAACACCTCTTCAAGTTCATCATCATCGGGGACGAGGCGTCCAGGGAGGAGTCCAAGAAATTGGAGAAGGGTGTTCCGATTGGATCTTCGCCCTGGGTTCCATATCAAAAAAGTTTGGGGGTTTGGGAAACGGAAACGGGGGGTTTTAGTTCATCCACGACCACGATCTCCATAATCAGCGCCTGCCGTGGGGGAGCATGTTTGTTTCCAGGCAGTCGGCAAGACTTGTTTGCTGCTGCAGTTCACTGACAAGAGGCCACCAGACAGTCCGGCGGTTTTTTTGGGTCACGACCTCCGAAGTTTTTGAAGTTTTGTCGCAATAAACACAACAGAAGGTATGGTTTCAGCATGGGTCAAGATTGCAGGGACACCGAGACACCGAGCCCATTAATAGAGCACTTACTCGATGACTTGATCCCAGGAATCATCTCAATGTGCCTCACTATGATAAATCATGGATGAATCTATGGATGAATCATGGTTTTTCTCATGTTTTCTATGGGTTTTCTCATCAGGATTTCGAATTTCGCCCATCTCTTCTCAGGTATCGAACGACCCACCAGGCTGGGGATCTGTGGAGAAATTGGTATGGGACGAACTTTAAGACTTGGTATGGCGATCGGCAACCTGAGGTATGGCCTTGCGTCGATCACTTACCGCGGCTGGCTGTGCTGTTTGTTGATGCCTGCAGCTTTTGCAGGTTTCATTTGGGCCACCAACAGCTTCAATCCAACAATAGAGTAACTTCAAACATACTTCCTAGCACGACAGTTTCTAGATGTTTCTAGCCCCCAGCTTCATCACCATGGTCCATGGTCGATTTTTCAATGTTGTGAATTGGGAGCTTTGTTTCCATTCCAGATCCAATCAGAAATAAAATGATGATCCATCATCTAATCGGTGACATCAAAGCTTTTTGCTTGGCGTCCGTGCAATTTTGAGTCACGGCGCGTGACGCTGGTGCCATGGCCTATGCCCACGGAAAGCCTTTGCCACAGGCAGGGCGCCCAGGTTCAGCCGTTCGATCCAAGAAATGGAAGCTTTGAGCCATTCATGGAGACATGCAGACATATCTTCTGATAGAATCCGCAAAAAAATCATGGTTTGGCACAGAAACTGAGGCATTTTGTGAGTATGTTTGCAAGCTTGTGGCTTGAGAATACTGCATTGCCATGTTTCCATGTTTCCATATGGTCACAGCATGTCTCCCCAGAGATCATCCGCCCAGGGATGTCATAACCACAACGTGGGGCGATTGCACGAAGCGTCGCTGGGCGTACCACGGGAACAGGGCGTGAAGTTTTCGAAAAAGCGAAGCTGTGCCACGGGCGCCACGGGAAAATGGGGAGTTTTCTCCAACAAATAATGGTGATTTATGGTGATTTATATTATAATATATGGGTTTTATATGGATTTAATGGGATTTATATGGACAAACATCGAAGAAACATGGTGTTTTGATGGTGAAGCATCGGGACACCCGGTGTCGTGCCCCATGCTTTGCGTTTTGGACATTGACGTTTTCAGCATTGCGTACATTGCGCACATCTTGCTTCCAACTGGTCCGAAGACTGTGAGTCAAACTGGTTTTTCTTTTTGGGGTAATGGACCTACTTTGTGAGTATCTTTCCTCAAGCTGCGACACCAAAAGCCATGGAGTTTCCTTGAATCAATCTACAATGAATTTATCGGAAGATACTGAAATCTAGTTTTGTGCATTGAACCGAATTCACATTGCAAACTTTCCCTCCATCCATGGTCCATCTCCATGTTTGATTTCAATGGCTTGCAAAAGACGACCGTTTTGGCCGCCATTTGTGTGGAATGTGGGATGGCCTTCATCCTGTCTCAAACACGCTTTTTCCAGCCCCAGGATGATTGCAGTTAGCAAAAGCAAAGGTTTTAACGAACAAGGCAGCTATAAAGTCATTTTCTGGCATGTCAATTGTAACATGTTTTTAAAAGATAGATTACAACTGGCTTGAAAGCAGTTCTTCGAACCCCAAGCCTGTGAGGATTTCTGAGTCCTACCCAGGAGCACGACCTTCCTACTGTGCGACGTACAAGAGAAGTTCCGTGGGGTCATTGATCAAATGTCCGGGCCCAGGACGGGAGGACTGTGCCGGGGAGTCTTCATACCATCCCTGTTTTTTGTTCGGATTTAAGATGGGAAAAATCATGAAGATGTTGAAGAATCGAAATCGTTACCATCAACACTGCAACACTTAAGCAACAAAAACATTCCGACCACCCTTGACAAAAAAATGAAAAGCAGGGTTTGTCTTAGAATTGGATACCCAATTCCAGCGGTCAATCATCATTCTCCCATCAAAAATGCATCTAATGGGGGTGTTTAGTCCCTCGTTTTCAGACACCCAAATCCATATATTTTATTGGTTCAATCTGGCGAAATCCACATTCTTGATGGTTATATAACATAATTTTTTTCACCATTTTTCATTTTTCATGATGAAAACCCCATGAATCAATAAACCATGTTTAAACTCCATAAATCATCATTTTTGATGCTCAAAAGCCCTATAAATCACCATAAATTCCGATTAGATCCCATAAAATCACAATAATTTCCGATGAAATCCTATAATTCCCCCATGTTTCATGGTCAAACATCTGTTCCCACGCCTAGGCCCCGGGTCATTGAGGCCTCCAAAGCGATGTTGGCCGCAGCCAAGGTCATGGCCATCCCGGTGATTGTCACGGTGCGACACCGTCGGGACGGTGGTTTGTCTGAAAATGTTGGGTATATTCCCAATGAAATAGCAATTTAATAGGGATAGTGATCAGCAAAACCATTGGGTTTAGGGGTACACTATTTTCAGACAAACCTATTTTCAGAGATTGTATGGGAATTAAAAAGGTTCTTTTAATGGTGATTTTAAGGGAATGTTACTGAATGTGTCCCGTTGAATGCTGTGTTTCACACACTGACATTCAGATACTGATTGTGATGATTGTAAATGCGGACAGTACGTGTGATCAATGTGCTTTTGATGCGTTACAGCACTTTAGAAAGACAGGTTTTATCATGAAGCACATGTATGAGATTAATGTCCAACATCAATCATTGCAAAAACTAGATCCGCAAAAGACGCTGGCAAACGAAAACAACTGACAACGCTGAATTCGATGCATAACCTGTTCGATCAAGCGCAGCGCACACCCAAACAAATGTCTGACAAACAACATGGCAAGGCAAGGGAACAATCTCAGGACAAGCCGGCGTGAGAACCGCTCAACACAACATGACCGACGGAACAGTTTGTTTTGCGTCTTTGACATGTTTAAGAAGTTTGGTCAGCGTCTTTGAGATGTTTGAGCTAGTTTGTTTTGTGTTTTTGAGATGGCTTTTTGAGATGTCTGCGCGAAGAGGAAATTGGCGCCCGATACCAATCATTGCAAAAACTAGATCCGCAGAAGACGTTGGCAAACGAAAAACAACTCACAACGCTGAATTCGACGCATACCTTGTTTGATCAAGCGCAGCGCGCGCTCAAACAAATTTATGACAAACAATGGCAAGGCAAAGGGAACAATCTCCGGACAAGCCGGCGTGAGAACCACTCAACGCAACATGACCGCAAAAACCTGAAGCGTCATATTGAAACATCACGACATTGTGGGCGAAAAGAAAAGCAAGGACAAAGGCGGGAAAGCCTGATCCGCAAAACGTGTCGTCAAACAGCAACAAGTGACAGCGCTGAATTTGACGCATAATCAAAAACGGTTCAAGCACGCACAGCGCAAACCAAAGCAAAAGTATGAAGGACAACATGGCACGGAAAAGGGAACAATCCTAAGACGAACCAGCCTGAAAACCACTAAAGCAAAACGACGACCGCAAAGCTTGAAGTGATATATCGAACCGTCACGACGGCGTGGGTGTAAAGAAACGCGACGACAAAGGTGGCATGGACCCAGTGAAGTGGCAATAAACGCAAAACCTGACTCGCAGTCTGGTACTGCATGGGTGGCAGGTGCAAAGACCAAGGATCCAACCATCACTCTGGTAAACTTCACGGGTGACACGCGCAGAGACCAGGAATCTGACAATCAATCCGCTTCACTGTACTGGTGCCGGAAAGCCAACATTTGGAGGACTATGGCAGTGTGGTCTTCTATGGAGTTCCTGATCAGAAGCATTGTTGGGGCCAGGTTGGACTGTGGCGGACAATTGGGGGCTTCCTACTTTCACCACCTCAAGGCCACGGTCTACCCCAGGTCGCAGACCAGCAGGTTTGCAAGAGTGTCAAGATCATGAAGTCGAAAGATGGAGGCAGGACAAGTGTAGGTTTCCACCTTGTCAGTATCGTGATGATGCTGGGTTGGTCAACATGCATGGCAAATGGTGGCGGCCCAGTGTAGCCGAACGTGAAGTTTTGATGGGATTCCCGGTTGGTTACACCGCCCCTTGTGTTGCCAAGGCTGAACAAAAAGGGGAGGTGTATGATGACTCCCGACTGACTCTTCTTGGTAATTCATGGCGGGTTGGTGTGATTGTCTGGCTCCTTAGCAAGCTGTTTGCTCTGCTGGGGCTGTGTGAACGTCTGACCGTGGAGGCTATCATCAAGCTTTTGGCGCCAGGGGAAGGGAGCCACCTCCAGACGCTCCTGCTTCGACCCCCGCTTCATCGTGTAGGTCAAGTTCGCTGTAAATCCTCAAGGGAGCTGGTGAAAAAACTCCGCAGGCGCACACACCAACACTTTTAAAATTAACTTGGTAAACTGCACCGAGGGCGGGCGCAAAGACCAACAGTTTGAAAATCAATTCGGTCAATTGCACGGGTGGCAGGCGCAGAGAACAAGGATGCAACTTGATCCAACCATCACTCTCGTAAATTGCACGGGTGGCAGGCAGACCAGGGATCCGACAATCAACCCGCTGAACTCCACCGGTGGCAGGCGCGGGCACCCACATTTTGAAAATCAACTTGGTAAACTGCTAGGTGGCTGGCGCAGCGCAGAGACCAAGGATCTAACCATCAGTCTGGTAAACTGCACGGGTGGCAGGCGCAGAGACCAGGGATAGGTACAGCTTTTCCTAGGAATGTTTCTATACCCGGGTGCAGCATCATTGCAAGCTTGTATGTGTATGCTTGTATGTGTGTGATTGTATGTGTATGCTTGTATGATTGTATGTGTATGAAAGTATGACAATGTGCGTGTGATGTCATGATGACGAACACAACACAAGGTCATATACAGTTAGTAACGGCGTGTCATCCAACATGATTGCGTTTGTATCAATTCATGTTGGTTGAGATACCTGGTGAGGATCTGGAGGGTTCCAATGCAGATACTTGTTGCGGTTCTGGAGGGTTCCGGTGCAGATACCTGGTCAGTTTCTGGAGGGTTCCTGTGCAAATACCTGTTGAGGTTCCTGGCCCTGGTTCCTTTACCATTGTGCAGCACCATTGCGTGCTTGCATGCTTTACCAAGCGCTGTGAAAAAATAAAGAAACAAAGCAGAAACTTTCAAACTGTTGGGGATAGCACCTGAGTTTATTTTTTTCAGATGGGATTTGAACAGGGCTGAAATGGTGATTTCTGCATCGTTTTTTGGGGACTTAACTAATGAATACTGGTGGTTTGGAGATATGGATTTGTCCAAGAGTAGGGGATTCACCTCAGAAATCGTGGTTTACACTTTACACGTTCAACGGGACCCAGCTCAGAGATAGATATTTACTGATATTTAAGCATCTCGTGCATAGCTCGTCAAAAATTGAACCTCAAGTTTGGCGCGTACCCTAGTTCTGGACCCAAATATGTGAAAGTTGGAGATGCCAACTGCTACGGGAAACCCAAGGAATAGAGAACCACCAGGAACGGGTGGCTGGAGGCGTACCCACATTCCACCGGGACGTTTCGGGAATTTTTAATACTAGGGGGATGGAAATACACAACAAACGATGGGGATCTATCTTTTTGGGATATGATGGGATAGAATGGGGATTGAGGGATGAATCACATTCATATGGAGGTCAATCTGCTGTTATTCGGGGTTTCGGCGTATGCTGTGTCATGATATCATATCAATGTTGAGCACAATAGATGAGGACGATTTTTGTTTTTTTTTAACATGGATATTATATAATCAACTTGGGGCGTTCTATGCAACAAGATTGGGCAAGCATTGCTGAATGATTGGTTGAATCCACTGGCCGAGTTGTATGATCTGTTCTGACTGCAAAACTCACCTGCTTTTCGACCTGCCAATATTATGTTTCACGGTGTAGATGGCCCATCGGGAGAGCATTGCAACCCCATCATCTCCATCCCATGATCTAAACCACTGGTGATTTCTACAGCCAGACCTGGGAGGAACAGTATCCCAAAGCTCTGGGCCACACAGTGTCAGAGCTCGATGTCTCCGAGGTGGTCGGTTTGACGGATGAGGGGTACGGGTGAGGTGAAAACAAATGGGGATGGGGTAAAAACGATGAGAATTTTGTTATTTCTGTTTTTTTGATCTATAAATCCCAGCTATTTTGGTGTGAAGAGTAGGGTACCGGGGTGAACTGACCAGCAGGTTTTAGATGTTTCAAGGTGTTTAAAGATGTTGTTACATGTTTTGGCACTTTTAGAAGGAGCACTCATAGTGACATCAACAATGGTCATACCACTGCCTAGTGAGCGGTGATAAACCGACTTCTGGGGTCAGCCTGTGGTTCAGGAAGGCCCTCAGCTACACAGTTCTTGGACAATCGATGGTCATCTGGAGATATTTTTCGTGGGGAAACCGATGGTGACAATGGATGGATACTCCTGTTTAAGTTTGTCTGAGAAAATAGGTATACCGCAAATGATTCTTTCGGGAAAATGATACACCATCAGGTCGGGTAGCACCCAATTCGTGTTCAGCTGATGGGTTACGGCTTTTCCGATGAACTTCCCCCCGTCTTCAGACGGTTGTCTCAACCGATGGACAAAGCATGTTGAATCTCGAATCAGCTGGCTTACTAACACCAGCCAGTTCCGAACACATCAAAAGATCACAAACAGTCACACAACAAACGTTCGAAGTCATGAGGCAATCAAACCATGTCAGGACAGGATGCGTAACAGACACAGCAAACGCAGCCAACTCTTCTGATTCGAAGTAGGAACCCCGCAGCTATAGCTGGGGAGTCATGAGAAAACAAATAGAAAAGTTATACCCAGCTTCCCAAAGTCAGAAATCTACAGAGTTGAGACAGACCACAATAGACCACAGATGACGGACAATCATTTCCATTTGATGTACCTGTTTTTTTTTAAAAATCTTTACACAATTCGTTTGGTACCCCTTCAGCGTATTCAGCATATTCAGCGTAGTCAGCGTATTCAGCGTATCCCGTTTGCTCGGCATAGGCGAAGGTCTTTGAGCAGCTTAGCTGATTTTAGATCGCTGTCATCTTTGATGAAGCGCTGGCAGCCAAGCTTGAACTGTGCCCCAAACATTTGGCGATCATGCATCAATACATTCTTTTACTGGACATTTTTGCCAAGAGACTCAAGAGACATCAAGAGACCATGTTTTTTCCAATGCCTGTTTTATTAGACATCCATTGGGCCGTGGTGGTTTCCGCAGTGCTGGCTCCAACGGCTGAGAAAAAAGGTTCCACCCCGATTCGCGCACGACAAAGGGACCAGCCATGGGCAGCAGCAGCACGACTAGCAATGGCAGTTATGAAAAGTTGCAAGAACAGCGAATCTGGATGGTGATTTTATAGGATTATTTTATAGTGATTTCATCCATGAACATTAATGGTGATGAATGGGATGATAGTTGATTAATGGCAAATAAATTGTTCACCATATCGATTGAACTTGCCAAGTTTTGGGGGTTAGATGGGGTGTTTGTAACAGCACCTGTTCTTTGTGATTCCCACAAGAATCACAAGATTTCGCCGTTTTTTGCTGTTTTTCGCCGTTTTTCGCCGTGTGCCACGCGTGCCCAGGACTACCTGTTTGGGAAGCCCGCGACGGTGCCGGTGCCTCGGGTGACTTACGACTCGTCCAAGCTCTGGCTTTGGACCTCCCCAGGCTCCGCCTTCATCGCGGTGTCGTGGCACCGAGGACGACGTGGCTACACCTGGGATCAACGGGGAGGATTTGCTATATATTTTGCTATGGTTTAAGCTGATTTAAGCTGAAAAAATGAGGATAGAATAGGACAATTAGGAAAGGAATGGATGTTTCATGGGGGTCATGTCAAATTGGAGGATTGAATCTATCACAGACTATGGCCAGCAGGATTCAAGCAGAGCAAAATGACATCCACCCGGGAAACGAGCAAGCATCGATTGCCTCACATCGAGAGCCATCGAGTGATTGTCGTTGATCAAGGATGGCATGTGATTCTATCCCGGAGAGAGCGACACATCTTAGTAGTTCTGAGTTCTGAGCCATAAAATCACCATTTGTGATCGTGATCCATGAAGGATCAATTTTCTTGGCCAGAAGTTGCCATTCGCAGTACATTAGAAATTTCTATACAGATGGTTCCAATGTGAACATTTAATCATGGGCCTTGGCAGCTGCTTGTTCTTTGTGACCCGGATCTCTTGTATGCGCTCAGCTTTCAAAGGGGCCAATCATTTTGAGTTGTGCGATCGCCTTTCGGCGAGTTGGAGCTCCTGTACAGCTCGGGGGTCCAGCCATTCTTCTGAGTCGCCACGCAGCTGCATGTGTCGTACTACACAGGGTTGGTTGCAGGGACAATGTACAGCAAACACGGGGTTTGCCGTAAATCCTCCCTGAACCAATTCTGGAATGCTCAAAGCCACAAGGGCGTAAAAATTCGCGGAGCGTGGCAGAATTTTGTCTCTGCAAATGGCGGTTTGAGTGACATGAGGGGCTCCAGCCAAAACTCGAAAGAAATGAGTCGATCGATTTGAGGGCCTCTATCGCAATCAGTTTCCTTCCACTTTCAAAGATTCGGATTTTCGATTCACCAGAGATCGACTGTCTATGCAAAGACTTAAGGTTGGCCCCAGCCACTGGCTGGTTCTTGGGGCGACTCATTGGGTGTCAGGAAGACGCAATTTTCCATGTACACCAACGAGTTTGCGCACTATTTGGGCGGCCTTGACCGCAAGGAGAGGTAGCAAGATAGGACAGGATGCTTAGTAGTCTGGGGTAGCTTCATGATATCTGGATAAATTATGATGGTAAGGGAAATCATCCCCAAAATACCCGAACTTTTCAGGGTTTTACACTATTGAAGATGATGTTCTGGTTGACAAAGTTGACAATGGTAGATTTCCAGCCAATACTGCAGGGTAAAAATCACCAAGGTGGTAAACTCTGAAGATATTCTGCCCTGGATAACCTGGTTACAGAGCGGGACACCCGATGATACTTAACTAACTAAACTATGACACACTGAGTAGCTGTTACATAATGTTACGAATAAAGCACGTGATCACAAGTTCCCGATTCGTGGCTTATCCCATGTATGTATATAATTATATATATATATACACAACATCATACAAGTATATGATATGTAGTGTGTGTATATATATGCATATACATAATTATAGGTGGTTGGGACCGACGATCCCAAACCAACAATGGCAGCAGTGACATGATGATGGACCTTGTCCTCAAGGAAGTAGATTCTAAGTCTCCCAAACCAAGATGGGATAAATGTTAAACCGTAAATGGATCACCAAGAGATTGTCCTGAATCTCACACCAAATGATTTCACCTGGAATTTCAAGGATAGCTTCACCCAAGCGCCCAAACCATCAAGCGCACAGCGCTTTACCTTTTTGCTCACCCGTGGCGGATGCCATGCAGTTCAGAGGCTGCAACATCTCTGACCCCTATTAGACAATCGAAGGCTGGAAACGGGACTCAGGCAAATTCACAATTATATAGATTTAAGTATAGATATAAGTACATATACAGTATACATAATATACATATAGGTATAAATATGCATGCGTAAATAACCTACAACCAGTTCCAGGCTCGCTGGGCCCTGCCCGGTGAAGGATGCCATCCTCTTCGGTGTGGAGACGCACGTCTGCGTGCAACAGACCGCGTTGGATCTCATGGACCGAGGAATTCAGGCCTGGGGATGATGGAACCAGCGGTAACCAGCCCCCAATTTGATGTGTTTTCATACTCATCTATGAAATCAAAGGGAATGTTGATAAACTATTGGATTTAAAGGTGTATATACCTTTTTTTCAGACATCATCTGGAGTTGGGAATGGTATCTGGCCAATAACCATGGAAGTGGGTTGAATGTGTTTAAATCTGGTTCACATAACCAATAAATACTAAAACGTCTTTAAGTGTTTTCACCCAGGACATTTTTTCTTTTGAGAAAAAAACAACCATGGGCCATGACCAAAATAGGAGTTTTCACCAGCAACAATTCTGTCTTGTTTAAGATTTTACACTTTTTGAACTGCAAGAACTGGGGGTTTGTCCCATACAGCCAGTTAGAATATGTTACCATCCCCCAAATGAACATTTCGACCCGAGTGGCTGATGAAGTTGGATGAGTTGGTAGTCAATTCCCAACTCATGGCAGGATGTTAAGTTGGATGGAATTCACAGCCTTTCATGGGCCGGATCTGAAAAAATGGGGGTGGTCTTCCCGGTCATAGCACTGCCATGTTTCTGGCTGATTGTAACCAAGAATGTAACCAAGAATGTCGTTTTATTTTGGCAATACTTCTCTGCGGGTGATTCTTGGTGATCTCTTTGTCATGCCATGTTGGTCACAAGTTTGTGCTGGTCTGCTGCTCAAAATATGCAAAGGAAACCCAAATTTACCTAGGTTGCAGATCCAAAAACCCGAACTCAATAATAACTCAGTGTGTTTTTTTTATGTCAAAGAGATCCCCCAAGACACGATCACGTCCTCCAGCATCGCGAGGTCCATGTGTTGGCAGATGGCGTGTCATCCCAACGGCCCTTGGATCGTGAAATCGCCTTGGATCGTTTGCGACAGGTGTGTTGGCCTCCACGGACTCGTGGGGGTACCTTGATGAAATATAGCATAGCTGGGATGAATATGGATGAATATGGATGAAAAAGGCTACCAGAACATCACATCAACTGGGGTCGAATGAACGTATTGCACAATATTGCGCTGCTGTTGGAATCCCACATGCGACCTGAAAGCAACACAAACTTTGGATGCCAATGAACAATTGCCGGAGGCAGGCTGCTACGTGACCACCATGGAATCGGTCCTCTTCGAGCTGCTGCGCAGCAAAGATGCGCTGCTCGGAGCGAAAAGGGCCACCTGTTGGAAACATGGTGATCCAGTGGATGATGTGGATGGAATGGTCATTTTTTTTTCATCGAAGGAGGTTTAGAAGTCAAACTTCCGACAATATATGGACACATGAAAAAGCAGAGGTGGGAAGAGTCAGAGAAGAGAAGAGAAGAAGAAAGAAGATCAAAGAAAAGAACGAGTCAGAAGACAGAAGATGCAGGTGCGCGAAAAGGTAGCAAAGTCGCGAAACACTGTGTTTTTCCAATGATTTGTGGCTCCGGAGGGTCGAAAAGTAGGCTCACTAAAGCGGCGGGTGCGGAGCCATCTGGCCAGATGAGAGATGAAAAATTGCACGCCGTTTTGGCGCGATGCAAATTTTCAAGTCAAAATGTATTCGGACCACTTTTGGAAGTTGAGACGTTGAAAAAGTGCACGCCGTTGTGGCGCGAAGCACACTTTGAAGTCAAAATGTACAAAACACACCAACATCGAACCACTTTTGGAAGTTGAGATGTCGAAAAAGTGCACGCCGTTGTGGCGCGAAGCACATTCCGAAGTCAAAACGTACAAAGCACAGCATGCTCAGAGCACTTTTGGGAGTTGAGATGTCGAAAGCACATTTGGAAGTGAAAAGTGTAAAAAAACTGACAGTCTCGGACCACTTTTGAAAGTTAGGACGTGGTTTTGCGTGGCATGCGCAAGGGATTCGGCACCTTGCCAAAAGTGCGTAAAACGTGAGGGTTTGTAGCAGTTTCAAAAACGCTGGCAGTCGTGGGACATTTGAAGAGGATCTGCAAAGATGCATTTCGCGTGGCAGGCGCAATACAAGAGACATGTTCACCAGAGATGTTAGGAGGTCAGGGCGGAGATTTCCTGAGAGGGGTTACCGGGTTGCATTTTGGAGCGTCAGGTCTTCAGGTTTGCTAAGATGATTTTGTGTGACAGGTGCAGGGCTTCGTATGACCTGGCCTCACCTTTTCGTGGCAGGCGCAGTACTTCGATGGAATGGAAAAATCGCAAAAAGCATTGGTACGAGGCCGTCATCTTTGCTCTCAGTTTTCCATTTTTGAAGGAAGTCTCGCAGATTTCTTTCGTTTTTGATGTCTTGAACTTCGAAAAATGAGGAAGTCTCGCAGAATTGCTTCGTTTCGGATATTGTCAAGTTCAAAAAATGAAGACGTCTCGCAGAATAGCTTTGTTTTCAAGCTTGCAGAAAGACAGACAGAGAGAGAATGAGAGAGAGAGAGAGATAGCTAGCTAGATAGATAGATATAGATAGATAAAAAGATAGATAAAAAGATAGATAGCTAGATAGATAGATAGGTAGATAGATAGATAGATAGATAGAGATAGATGGATAGATAGATAGATAGATAGAAAGATAGATAGATAGATAGATTGATAGATAGATAGATAGACAACTACAACGGCAACTGCAACTACAAGTACAACCACACGACGCTACCACTACAACTACAAATGCAAACACAAACATATTACGCTACAGTGCGCTAATTACACCACGCTACACTAATTACACTACACTACACTAAGGAGGGCTATTTATTTTTGTTTTTTTTTTTTCGCGGCAGGTTTTGTTTTTTTTTTTGGGTTCCTGGTTCTATGCTTTCCTGTTTCTCTGAGTTTCTGCTTTTCTGCTTTTCTTCTTTTCTGCTTCTCTGCTTTTCTGCTTCTCTGCTTTTCCTGCTTCTCTGCTTTTCTGCTTTTTGTTTTCCCTGCTTCTCTGCTTCTGCTTTTCCTGCTTTCCTGCTTTTCTGCTTTTTGCTTTTCCTGCTTCTTTGCTTTTCTGCTTCTCTGTTTTCCCTGCTTCTCTGCTTTTGTACTTATGTGCCTTTCTACTTCTACTATTCTACTTTTTCTTTTCTTCAGTCATGTGTTTTTGCTGCTCCACTTCCTGCTCCTTTGCTTCTTTGCTTCCTGTCTTTACTGTCTCTTTGTTTTTCATTCTCTTTTGTTTTTTCTGCTCTGTTTGTATGCTAAATGAAACCCTAGAGAGACCCTAGGTGAAACCCAAAGAAACCCTAAAGAAATCCTGATAGGAAACCCTACATGAAACCCGAGATGAACCCTAAAGAAACCATAAATGAACCCTGAAGAAACCATAAATTAATCCTAAAGAAACCATAAATGAAACCCTAAAACAATTTTAAATGACACCTTAAATGACATCTCAAAGAACCCCTAAACAACACTCTGAAAAAAAATGAAATGAAACCTTAACTGACACCTTTGCTGACACCCTAAATTGACACCCTAAAGAAAAGTTAAATGAAACCCTAAAGAAACCCTAAATGAAACCCTAAAGAAACCCCAAATGAAACTCTAAATGAAACCCTAAAGAAATTCTAAATGAGACCCTAAAGAAACCCCAAATTAAACTCTAAATGAAACCCTAACAAAAATTCTCAATGAGACCCTAAATGAAACCCCAACTGAAACCCTAAATAAACCCTAAATGAAACCCTAAATGAAACCCTAAACGGGACCCTAAAGAAACCCTAAAGAAACCCTAAATGAAACCTTAAATGACACCCTAAATGAAATCCTAAAGGAACTAAGGGAACCCACTCGAACGTTTAGAAATCGTGAGAAGAAATCCTGATAAGAAACCCTGGAATGAAGCCCTAAAGAAAGCTTAAATGAAACCCTAAATGAAACCTTAGAGAAACCCTAAAAAAATTCTCAATGAAACCCTAAAGAAACTCTAAATGAGACCCTAAATGAAACCCCAACTGAAACCCAAAATAAACCCTAAATGAAACCCTAAATGAAACCCTAAACGAGACCCTAAAGAAACCCTAAAGAAACCCTAAATGAACCCCTAGAGAAGCCGTAAAGAAACCCATTTGAACGTTTAGAACTCCTGATAAGAAACCCTGATAAACCGGAAAAAAACCCTAAATGGAACTCTAAAGAAACCCGAACCCTAAAGAAACCCTTAATGAAACCCTAAATGAAATCGTAAAGAAATCTTCAATGAAACCATAAATGAAGCCCGAAAAAAAAAAAGGTAAATGAAACCCTAAATCAAACCCCAAATAAAACCCTAAATAAAACCCTAAATGAAACCCTTAATGAAACTTCAAATGAAACCCTAAATGAAAGCCTAAAGAACCCTCAAGAGACCCACATGAACGTTTGAAGCACCAAAATGTAGCAAATACCATGCAAATGAAAGGTTGGAATGCCAAAATATGACAAATACCATGCAAAATGGAAGGCAAATATGGCCAAATGTAGCAAATACCATGCAAAATGCAAAGTTACCATGCCAAAATGTAGCAAATACCATGCAAAATGACAGGTTCTAGTTCCAAACTGTTGCAAATACAAGGCGAATGGCACCGGGAAAGAACTCCAAAAAAAAAATCGAAAACCTAAGGCAAAAAAAACAAAAACTATTCTACACCCCTACACTAATTACACTACACTACGCCAATTACAGTACACTACACTAACTACACTACATTACACCAATGAGACTGCAGTACGCTGCAGCTACAACGCTACAACTGCAAACACAACTACACTGCATTACACAACACTACCCCACACTAAATACAGTACATTACACTGCAACTACAAATACAACGACAACTACCAATGCACTACACTACACTACACTTCATTGCAGGGCACTACTTTACACTACACTACACTAATTACATTACATTACACTACATTGCATTGCTTTGCATTACATTACATTATGCTACGCTACAACTACAACTACAACTACCACTACCACTACCACTACATTACACTACATTACACTACACTACGCTACACTAATTAATCACTCTACACTACAGTACACTACAACTACAACTACACTACTTTACATTACACTACACTGGACGACGCTACACTATACCAGACTACAGTACACAACACTACACCACACCTACACCACACTACACTAATTACACCACACCACAACTACATCTGCAACTACACTACACTAATTACACTACATTGCAACTACGATTCCACTACACTACAACGACAGCTGCGCTACACCACACTACATCCAGCAGTTGTGGGTGAGGTGACCACTGCAACCATTGCAGCCACTCCAACAAACACAACTCCAACCACCTTTCGGTCCATCAGTGGATTCGCTCTGCCATCCATGCATCACAACAACCAAGCTCTCCTATAGGTTTCCTATCTTTGAAACTTCTGCCGCCGCCTTGTACGTAAACCCTGGTAATTTTCTTCCACGCAAAGCTAGCTATGCCAGACTTTGGTGGGGAATATGATGATTAACTGATTATTTTTTTTGTCCGGAGTTTCTTCATTAGAGAAAGACATAACATTTGTTTGGGAATACAATACTACGAGAAGTAAACTTATTTGGACAACACTATAATAGTAGTTCCAACGATTCGGTTTGGGAATTGACTTGTTTTTTCCATGACCCTGAGAATTTGCTTGTTACTATGGTAATTATAGTTCTGGTAAAAGTCGTGGTACTCTGATCGTAATTGCGATGTCTCCGTCAAGTTGTGGTTGAACCGCCGAAGCTAGCGGATGGTTTGGTATGTTTTTGGTGAATATACATTTGGGTAAGAAAAAATCATCCCATGAAAAACCATTAAAAACTACAGAAATCATCCAACTTGGTGAATGCTTGACCATTGGATGGTGAATTCCTAAGATCTGGATCCCAAACATGTGGCCAGATGAGACAGGACTTTCGGGATTGGTCTCAATCCTTCACCCTCAGGCAAACACATGTGTTGCAACATTTCAAGTTCCTGCTTTTGTAGATTTGTCCTGTCTTTTCAAACCTGGTTTTGGCCATCCCAAATCACCAGAGGTTAGCCCGTGGCATCAACAATTTTCCCATGCCACTGAGGCCGGAGTTCAAAGCCATCTCTGGAATTGTGAAGGCTTATGGCGAAAACCTCAAGAATTTGAAACCCTCTGTGGGGGAGGTGCCGCACGAGTTGTCTTGTTTTTTTTGAATGTAAGTTGACGCAAATCTGTGACAGGGCTTTACCATGTGACACGGGCCCACCAATCAGCTCTTCGGGTCACCCGGTGAGGCAGCGCTTTGAGGGACACAAGACGCCTTGGTTTCAAAAAAGGGGCAGCCGAGTCTCATGCGCAGCTGACTTGGGGCTTGGTGGCATGGAATGACACGGATCTGGTGGTTTCATATTTTTTTTTCCCGGTAAATTTGGGGATAATCGAACAAAAAACAACAATATTTTTCATGGGTGTCAGGGTGACAGTCGGCAAGTCTAGCCTTTGATGGTCCGGCCCTGGATGGTCATACCTATCATAGAACTGCAAAAACTGAGATTCACCAACCAGTCATGAACTGTGGTTTAAGCTTGGCTTCTTAACTTTGGAAATAGATTTCCTATAGAAATGAAACATTTTTTAAAAAAATTAGTATCTAAGATTGACCAGATGTGGCAGGTGACAGTTGGTGTGGAGTTCGGCTCACGCACAGTGGACGTCAATGGGTGTGGGTCCCAGGAGACTCCCAGGAGTCCTCAGGGTTTGGTAGATGGTTGGTGGCTGGTTGGTGGTGCAAATATGCTAAAAGTGGATTTTTTCTGCAGTGCAAGCACGCGTTCAGGTCGAGGATCAAACTTCAGTGTTGGGACACTGCTGGCCAGGACTGGGCTGCGACCATGGGCTAAAATGGATGGCTTGAAACTCCAATGACTCGGTGTGAGGATCGTTTCCGCTCCATTATCCGCAGCTACTACCGGGGTGCAGCTGGAATGCTACTAGTCCCGCTGGCCTGTTTTCATCAGCTGTGATGCACCTGTGCCTCAAAATTGCTGAAGCCCGGGCATTTTCAGCAAACTGTTGGTGAGTTGGTGGTCCTTTGATGCCACATCCTTTTTTCGCAGTGTCGATCAGCCGACCGCGGCCAGGTGTACGACATTAGTCAGCAGCGTGCTCAGCTGTTTGGGCGAAGTTGTAAGTTTCCAATGTTTGCCAATGGTTTCCAATGGTTTCCAACAAGATCCAAAAGTGTGTTTTGAAGAAACAATAAGTCACAATTTATATACCCTCTGGTAAACTAACATAACTATGGAAAATCATCATTTTTAATGGGAAAATCCACTATAAATGGTCATTTTCAATGGCTATGTTAGTCATTACCAGAGGGTAATACTACCTTCCCCAAATTGGCATACCCTGCCATGAGTCGGGGGTTGGAAGATGAGTTTCCTCTAAAAATTGGCAAACATTTTGGGATCTATGTCACATAACCAGAGGGCACACCATTTTACAATTATCAACAGAAATGTCACATTTTGTAACCATTTAATCCATTTAATAGCTGGTAAACCATGTTGGTCTGAAACGGTTTGCCATTTTTTACCAGATATTACACGGTCAAATATTTTCAGCTGGCATTCCTTCACCTGGTCCGACCGCCCCGAAGACGACTTTCGGCTCGAAGTGCGCAGCCGGGCGCTGTGCAGCGCAGATGGGAGTGTGCCTTGGGATGCCTTGGGGGGGTTTCCTACGGGGGTAACCCTATAGCTGGATGGTCATTGGACAATCCCTTGAAAATGGATGCCTGGGGGTACCCCCATTTAGGAAACCTCCTAATATCATTTTTGAGGAATGGGAAATTAGAGAGCCAAATGATGCCAAATGTACTACGACACAAATGTCCAAGATGGATGAATGGGATGACAGTCCGTCTCCGGTGTGGGGAGTGGGACGCTAGAATCAATATGCATCAATGTGAATCAACATGAAGCAATCATACTCAATCATACTATCTCTATATATATATTTATAGAGTACTATAGAGTCCATCCTAGGAGCCGGGACACCGTTCTGTCTTTGAGATACACTTATGAAACAATCATCATTATCCGTATGAAACATAGCCATGAATAGCCATAAATACCCATAAATAGCCATAAATAGCCATAAATAGCCATAAATCAATAGGCATCAAATAATACCCCATTGTCAATCACAGCCACATATCTTGTCAATCTCAGGGGTGACAACGACGCCGTGTCGCTGGAGCGCTTGCGGGAGAGTCCCCCGTGACTTGGGGCCAAAATGGTGTATGGTGAATATATATCATGGTTAATCTATGATGGTTAATCTGTGTTAATCTATGATGGTTAATATGGAGGTGTCCTAAGTCATGGGGGTACCCCAAAATCATCCAGTCGTCATGGATGACCATGACTTACTCGTAGTATTGAAACCCATGGTGACGACTGGGGATCCACCATTGTAAGGCAACGCCGTCCTGGGTCGGTGAGGTCATGGAGTGGTGAAACCAATCGCAACATCCCAACTCCGAAGAGGAAAAACCCATCCGAAATGACTTTCTCTGAAAATAGGGTACCCCCAAATCCTATTTCTGATGTTTGTTGATGATCATTTTCCCATAAACATTGCCACAATTTTCCGGTCAATTCCCTGATATTCGTTCTATCCTGGCACTCCGTTGCTGAGGGCTGGCGCCATGCCCACTTTCCAGGGCGGCAGCCAGGCGCCAACCGATATCACACTGCCTGAAGTCGGTCGGGAGAAGAGTTGACTACTCATCCACCAACCTATGTTGACATCTTCTCCTAAGCATAGCAGTCCCATCCCAACTTGAAGTAAGGACCCCTTGAGCCAATAGTGCGCCACCCAACCTAGGCACTTTAGGAATCCAAACTTGGGCTGAGCCAGGCTGAGCCATTAGCCGCTGTACCAATCTACCAATTTGCCAAGAATAATTACCTGATTTTCCTTGCCTACTTACTCAATTGACAATTATGTTCCACTCATTTACATTCATTTACTAAACCTTGAAGCGTCTCACAACAGGAGGAGGCTCTGGTGGGGGTGGCACAAAGATGTACCTTAGACGAGCCGGTCTCGGAGCACCAAGCCTCAGATTGGGCTGGGCCAGGAGGCACCAAGATCATGTCGGATATGTTCCTCCTGGCATGAATCCAAGGGATTGAGAAGCTGGTTCCTTGAAACACCCTGGCATGTTTTTTTTTTTCGCGAACTTCAAGATACTTGCAGTCCCTAATGTTCGCCATGGATTACCTGATGCCTTGCCGTCTTGTTGTGTCTGAGAAAAGTGGTATGTACATTATAATATCAACACATGACGAACATGTTACACATTACACGCGTACATACTTTTTTTGCCTCTCTCTCTCTCTCTTCCTATTTAATAGTGTATTTGTACATTTACATCTACGTGTAAATGTAGATGTACTGTATAATGATGTATAATGATGTATAATGATGTATAATGATGTATAATGATGTATAATGATGTATAATGATGTATGATGATGTATAATGATGTATGATGATGTATAATGATGTATAATGATGTATAATGATGTATAATGATGTATGATGATGTATAATGATGTATAATGATGTATAATGATGTATGATGATGTATAATGATGTATAATGATGTATGATGATGTATAATGATGTATAATGATGTATAATGATGTATGATGATGTATAATGATGTATGATGATGTATAATGATGTATAATGATGTATAATGATGTATAATGATGTATGATGATGTATAATGATGTATGATGATGTATAATGATGTATAATGATGTATAATGATGTATGATGATGTATAATGATGTATGATGATGTATAATGATGTATAATGATGTATAATGATGTATAATGATGTATAATGATGTATGATGATGTATAATGATGTATGATGATGTATAATGATGTATAATGATGTATAATGATGTATAATGATGTATAATAGATAAATTATAGATAATGTATATGTAGATGCAGATGCATATTAGCCGATATTTCTATACCCCATGGCCCCATCGATCAGCCTGTGGCAGATGTCACCTTTGAGGACCATCATGAGAGATCTGCGCTCGGTGGCGCAAAAACTCATGTGCCTTGAGCTTCCCTGAATTTTCCGGGGAAGAATCGGGGGATTGAGAAACTGGATTACTTCCCATATGGGTAACCCATCGGGCATTATTTTTCATATGGTATCGCTGGATTTGATTTGATTTCGTAGTTTTTTTTTGATGAGTTGCTTTGAGATATGCTGAGGGGACGATTTTTGGATTTTTGGGGCCCAAAACAACATGTTGGGCACATCGGCATTGGCTCTTTCAAGGGGGAAGGATTTTGGTAAAAAAGAACTGGTGTTTTGGAAGACCTGTCCAGTGTTTTGCCGGGTTTTCATGATATTGATTCCAATCACTCTGTTTTATGGTCATTGCTTGGTATTGCTTGGTTTCACGTCCCCATTTTGGGTTGTTCTTTGGGCCGAGGTATGTGATGATGCCAGTGAACGTTGCGGATAGAGGCTGGGGCAGCAGATGAGCGACTCTGTGGATCCTTGAAGGAAGCAGTTACTAGCAACGAGCTGCACCTTGGGGTCCTCAAACAAAACCCCCAAAAGAGTCCACACCTAGAATATGGAAATGTCAAACATCGTCAAATAGTCACTAAAATGGGAATCCGGAATACGGTTGACATTTCCATATTCCATATAATTTAGGATGATTAAAACATTACATCTATGTATATATATATATACACACACAAAGTTCAGGTTTAACTCCCAATCTTGAAGTGTTACACTTCCCAATTGTCTCAGGGTCCCAGTTTCGCTCGTCGTCGCCAGGGCGGCGCTTGAGAGATTGGGATCTTTGGGGTCCTCTGCTGCTGTGCTTGGCACTGGGGCTCATCTTGTCCTGGCAGGCGAGCTCCGAATCCGCCCAGTTGGTGAACAGTGAATTCTATGGTGAACGACGAGCCCAATGGTTTATGAATGTTTCTCATAGATAGATATAATCTGTATATATTTATAAACTGTATACATATATATATATGAATATATATATATATATCGCCGTAATTAGTGGGGTTTATAAAACCAACCTCCGTCACCAGCGGCACCGGGGATCTGGAGAACCACTTAGGATGACCCAAGAAAGCAGTGCCATGAATTTCAGCCCCCATCATTTTTTCTGTTGATATCACCAGTATTGTGGGAGCCCCTCACTATTTTTGGTTAACTCACTATTGGGCGATTTCGTGATAACTGCCATCTATTCTTGGTTGCTA